AGTGGAACCCTTGATTAGAATGAGCTATGCCTCCAGCTGGAGATAAGGGGCAGCCTTCACCCACAGCAGTGTCTACCCAGGATGGCACTCAGAATCTACTTCTCATTTTCAAGTCTGCAGTCCACCCCCAAATACCTCTGAGTCTCAGTTTCCTCATCTGCAAAACTAGTGAGATGTTTCCACCTTGCCTGTGCCTCGGCTGTGAAGAAGCACAGCTGAGAAACTTCCCTGCAAAGCCGTAGAGCTCGATCCTCTCCCCCTCGCTGATCCTTCCCTCTGTCCTTCCCAAGCTGCCTTCAGGGTGAGAAGGCTTGGGCAGCCCAGGAGCCACCACAGTTGCAGGCTGTGCTTGGAGGCTTAAAGGAGACTGAGGTTACCATAGTTCTCTAGCTGGGCACTTCCCTCCACACCCAGGGGGCCAGGCCCATGGCCAGGGGTGGATGGGGCTGTATCAGCAAGCCAGTAGTAGCTCTTTGACCCCTTCGAACCGTGAGTCTCTTGCCCAGCCCCTCACACGGACACACACACACCCCTTTGCTGACTCCAGCCAGTCTAGGGCCCCTGCTGAGTTCCCCCAGCACAATAGGGCTCTTGTATTCCCTGCCCCCATCAGGTCTCAGACCTGCCTGCCCCCCCCCCCCCCATCGGTTTTCCCAGCCTCTGGCAGGTTCCCCCAGCCCACCTGCAGAGCTCAGCAGCAGCCACGAAGTCCCTACCCACTCTCTCTTTAACCCTCCTCTCCCTGCAACCTCTCTACACTCTCTCCTTCCCAACCCCTCCCAAAAAGCTGTAGTCCAGTCCCAGGCTCTCTTCACCCCTGATCCAGGCTGCAGGCTGGCTTCATAAGCAGACCCGGGTCTCAGCTTTCTCCCATAGCTCTGGATCCCTCAGATAAAAGAAAAACATGTTAGTTCATGAGACGGTACTGGTGAGTTGTTCTATCTTAAGAGAAGGTCAAAGGTAAGAAGCTTTGCCCAGAGGAGTAAATGATTCTTGAGTGTACTGTTAGGTATCAAAGGATGTATTGTAGGGGCCTCTTGGGGCTCCCCATAGAAGAGCATAGGTATGACAGCAGTCCTAGGACAGCCCAGAGTTCGACTTTTAATTGTAACAGAAAATAAATCAGTCATCTCTCTTCCAGCTGAATGAGTTTATCATTTTTTTCCTTTATTGATTTTAGAGATAGGAAGAGATAGAAACATTGATGAGAAAGAACATTGACTGGCCGTCTCCTGCATGCTCCCCACTGGGGATCTGGCCCACAACCAGGGCATGTGTCCTGACTGGGACCTCTTGGTGCACGGGTGGATGTTCAACCACTGAGCCACACCGGCCTTGATGAGTTTAGACAAGGCCTGATATCCACCCTCTCCAACTGTCCCACCCTGATTGCAGTGGCTGGAAGGTGGGCAGGACTTGTGGCCATCAGTGCCACCCGGGAGACAGAAGTGCTGAAGTGGGGAGGGGCAGGGCTGAGAATGCATTCTTCACAGCTTCCCAAGTGCTGCTGCTGCTGCTGGCCTGGGGGCCACAGTGGCCTATAAGATGCTCCTTCCAGCCTCAGCAGAAAGCAGTCTTGGATCTGGTAAGAGACTGATGACCTTATAGAGGTTGACACTGAATCTCAAGCCAGAGGGGGAAGGCTCCTGAAGGGTGTGTCACTTACCCAAGGCAAAAGGATCTCCTGATAACCTGGCAAGTAGAAAGGCTCTGAAACTCAATCAGCAAACCTGGGGGTCTTAGGACCAGCAATCCCACTTACTGGATCTTGTGATCTTTTTAAAACACATTTTTATTTATTTATTTTTTAAAAAACTTTTCTTTATTGTTGAAAGTATTACAGATATCCCCCTTTCCCAGGCTCCTCTCTGCTCCCGCCCCCCTCCTGCCTTCCCCACACTATTGTCTGTGTCTACTGGTTATACATATATGCATGTAAGTTCTCTGTAAGCCACATTTTTTTGATTCTCCTCTTATGTCAGGCACTTTACCTACCTTATTTCTACTCTTTAATGCAACCATGGGAGGAGCTATCCCTGAAGCCTGCAGAGGTGGGATTTGAACCAGACCCAATTCTAAAGCCCAGACTCTTAATCAGTAGGTGATTTTGCCATAAGTCAAGACAGAACAGCTAAATTTAGGAAAAGGGACTCCACATACCCCAAGTAGCTGTGCACCATGTCCCCGCCTCCTTTACCCAGGCAGATTTTGATTACAAACAGAGGGAGCTTGGACAATTAGGATGGTGAGTAAGGGGGGCAAGGATTCTCAGAAAGAAAAAAATTACCAAGATGGGTCGAGTTAGTTGTAAAGTTTGCCTTCTTAGAAGCAAGGAGCTGGACCTGCAGCTTGTTGCTAGCTCTGAGATTATAGGAGATAACTATATTTACTATGTTTAAAGAAAGCTATTTTCTTTTTTAAAAATGTTTTTATTGATTTAGAGAAGGGAAGGGAGAGAGAAACATTGATGTGAGAGAGAAACATCGATCAGCTGCCTCCCGCCTGTCCCCTACTAGGGATTGAGCCCACAACCTGGGCATGTGCCCTGACTGGGAATCAAACCGGGACCTCTCAGTCCAAGGGATGAGATTCAATCCACTGAGCCACACTGGCTGGGGCAAGAGAGCTATTTTCTAAATTAAGAAACACAAGAGCTCCCTGACTGCTAATCTTAGCTAGAGGAAAACCTGTCTTTCTTGGACTAGCAGGAAACAGGGAGACAAACCTGAAAAAATAGCAGAAGTGTTCAGGTCAGCCACAGAAATGGAATGCATTTGGCTCTCAATGGCGGGACTCCATTTAAAAGTGCCCATCTCGCCCTGGCCAGTTTGGCTCAGCGGTTAGAGCGTCGGCCTGTGGTCCAGAGAGACCCAGGTTCGGTTCCCGCTAAGGGTACATGCCTCGGTTGCAGTTTGTCCCCGGCCCTGGTTGGTCGTGCGGGTGGCAGCCACTCGATGTGTCCCTTCACGTCGATGTTTCTCTCTCTCTCTCCCTTCCACTCTATCTGTACAAAAAAAATGAAAAAAAAACAAAACAAAAAAAAAACCTCAGGTGAGGATAAAAATAAAACTGCCCATCTCACAATGGATAATTCAGAGCCCAATTCTTTCCCTTCCTGGGCCCAGTGCCTTTACCCTGGACTGTGAACTGAGGGCTGGGCCTTCCCTCTCCTGTTCCACTGCTATATTCCCACCCAGAAGCATAGCTGTTAGCACATCAGAGGTGCAAAAGGTGTTGTACAAATCAACACATTCCCATCATGCCTGTGATGTCCACTGGGACTCAGCCAGCTGCCAGGATTCCCCTATCTACACCCTAAATAGTAAGGGCTCTGTTTGAACTAGAGTAAAATCAAGAGGCTGGGAAATTCACTTCTTAAAACTTATTTAATATCCTCCCCACCCTCCAGATTGGGAAAGGCCAAAACAGTCTGGCTGGATTTAGTTACAAAATAATACACATTTAAAAAATCATTCTTTAAAGTTAATCAACATCATGGGAATAGGATTATCCTTGGAAAAAGTGAAACCCATATTAACAAAATATATCGTGGAAGAACCCCACTTAGTGATTTCACTGGCTATTTGAAAGTCTAGTGAAGGCCAACATTCTGCATGTTTTTGGGAGCTGGTCCATGCAGTGGAAAGAGGCCTTGCTCAGGCTCAGTCAAGCCCAGGCAGCTCTAACCAGGCCCTAGACCCAATGAAAGCAAGGAGAGAGGGCATCCTTTCTTCAAGACAATCAAGTCCTGCAACTTCACTTAGCCCATGGGGAAAAAGAAGATAGAAAGTTAGAGGGAAGGCTTAAAGATGCAGCATTTCTTCAAGTGTTAAAAAAGTTCAAAATATTTTTTAAAGGTTATTGAATGAGAGGAAGGAAAAAATGGAATAGAACTTAACATTCTGAGTAAGTTTAAATCTGGTCTCAACTTCAACCATCTCTTCATGTGAAGACACCATCCTTTCGGCATTGTGCTCAACCTTTGTGACCCCCCTGGGTACTCTTTGCTTAGGAGCTTGACTGTAATGGTTAAAAAGGCATTTTACATACACATACACACATATCATGTGAGCACATATATATGTACGTGTGTGTATCTGTGCACGTGTGTATAAATATGCATTGCAATCAAACAGCTTTGGAAAGCTGGAGGAACCCACAGCTCTGGGGCCGACTTCCTTCCAGAGTTCCACAAGACGATACCTACCCACAAATTGGTCTCCAATTTGGAACATTCCGTTTTCCCTTAAGATGGCCTGATACTGGGGAGGGGCAGGTCCACAGAACAAACAGAGGCCCTAAAAATATGTCACCAGTGGCATTTATCACGTGTAAAAGAAACATTAAGAGTCATGGGTTAGTTGCGAGCTCTCTACCCTTCCTGACTCCCACCTCCTGCCCAGGGAACTCGCATGCCTGAATGCTGCATCTTTAAATATTTCTGGCTGAGCCCTCTTGCCACATATGTCAGTAACATTCCAAGCTGGCTACCACATGTTCAAGCTCTGGCCTCCTCTCTTCCACTGCCGAGTGCTCTGCTGTTTCAAGGGCATGGCGGGGCCACGCAGCTCCCATTTCAGCTCCATCTTCAGTCGATCACATCTCAGAAACAGCCACATTGAAAAAAATTAGTTCCAAAAAAAGTTCATATTTGAAATACCTATTTCCCTTGAGATTATGTTTTAACTCCACTTAGTGAATCTATTAAAGTGAGTTAGACAAAGTGCGTGTGCACATGCACACTGATACACACACCAGCACACCCCCACAAAATTTAGAGGGTTGAAGGTTATTTCCTGCCAACAGATCTAACAGAGGAAAGCTTATGTGCTGATCGAGTTTTAATATCGTGGTTAACAAGAAATGCACACCATTTAGCAAGCACATAGAGACCGTGGGTAGGAACTCCTGATCCCTGGGGTATTTGGCTCTCCAGCCCGTTTTCTGCCTACCTTTGGAACAGTTTTGATAGTTACTACATTCAGAGAATCCAAGAGGACTGCATGGACAGATGAACCTTTATTTAAAAAAATAGCACTTCAAATAAATTAAAAGGGACAACCGTCAAGTGTTCAAATTGTGAAGAAATAGTTGAAAACCCAGAGAGACCCAAGCTGCAGTCTTCTAACCTCATTCTTTGTCCAGTGGCAAAACCCCCACATCTCAGTCCTCCCACTCAAATTTCCCACTGCGATGAGGGAAGCAATTGCACACAGGAGACCAGATGGAGGAGAAAGCTGCATCTGACTGGAATGAACATTGCCACGTACTTGCTAATACGGGTTTCACTTTATGACCAAATGTATTCTTCAAAAATAAAAAAGGGGGGAGGGAAGCTGCATGTTTTTAAAAATTGAAATTATTTAGGGATAAAACACTAACTCTAGTGCCTTTAACGGGCAATAGCAACTTTTTTCCTCCGAAGTCAAACACCATCCCCAGCTGAGCCTTTGTGCTACAAGCTTTTTAGGAGATGTTACCTAAACTTTATTAAAAGAAAAGAACAAGTTTAAATATAGACACTGGACTAGCCCAGTCTGTATTTTCAAGTCCACATTCTTCATCTGAAGCACTGCATCAGGGACCCCCCTGAGTCTGCATGTTTTCAAGTTCACAGTACATGGAACCAGTTTTTCTTTTTAATTTTTTTCCTCACTCAGAGCAGCCACACACAGTGGCCGTTGACGCCGGAACCTCGGGCGGGGCCTTTTCCTATGAGGCCTGGCCAGAGGTGCCCAAGGTTTCTCCTCAATGAGAATCGATGCTGTCATGCTCTATGGATGGGAAAAAAGCAAGAAAATAAAAGCACCTGGTACAGGTTTCATGAGATCCATTCGGATTCGCTATGTTCCAAACCCGCTGCTGAATGCCATTTGTCCACTGTGTGTGTGTTGAACAGTCTGTGGCCTAGGAGTGGGTCTCAATTTGAAGAACTGTTATTGGACACCCCGGAGGTTGATGCAATAGCAGCGCCAGCAGGGCTACTTGTAGAGACCGACTTTCGGATGTGAGGCAGCAAGTAGGGGTCACAGGCCAGCTGCTGGACATCGATGCGGTCCTCCTTTCGGTAGGCTAAGCATCGCCGAATAAATGCCTGCAAGGAAAGTTTCTTGAAGAAGCCTGAACAGGACTTGTCTCTCCAAGAGACATCAAGACATCCTGTGAGTGGGGTTTGATTCAGAATCCTAATTCACTACCATTACAGAGGTTTCTTTGGCTCTAGGTATGAAGGGCTATGTAGTCTGTTTCTACAATTTTTATCATAAAGGCCCTTAAATACATGGTCTGTCTCTTTCACCAGACAGTTCTATTTAATCAAAGTCTTGTAATGATTTTAAATAAATGAATCAAGTTTTAAAAATCTAAAATATCATCACCCAAAATCCATACTTTGCATAAGGGTGATAATAGCATCTCCATGGAGGTAAATTTATTATAACAAATGTACCATGCTGGTGTGGGATGTTGACAGTGGGGAAGGCCAGGTGGGGCAGGGAGTATGTAGAAACTATTTTCCATTCAAATTTGTTGTGAATAAAAAAATAATCTGTTCTAAAAAATAATCTATTTTGATTTTTAAAAATTAATTAATTATTTTTTGTTAATCCTCACCTAAGGATCTTTTTCCATTTAGTTTTAGAATGGAAGGGAGAGAGGGTGAGAAAGAGAAAAACACTGATGTGTGTGTGTGTTTGTGAGAGAGAAACACTGATGTGAGAGAGACACATGGTCTGGTTGCCTCCCACACGACCCAGGCCGGGCCAGGGATCGAACCTGCAACTCAGGTACATGCCCTTGACTAGGAATCAAACCTGCAACCCTTAGGACTGAGGGCCGACACCCTAACCGCTGAGCCAAACTGGCCAGGGCTAAAATACAGTCTATTTTTAAAAATCTAAAACATGAAATAAACTAATGCTTTTCTATTTGTTCCCATGTTTAAGTAATAAAACACAAAAGTATAATACTAATACTGGTTTTTCAAAATAAAAGACACCTAGAGGTAATTGTTTGATTAAAACATTTAGAAGATAAAAACAAATTCACAGAAATGAACATAATGGTCCTTGGCCTTTTAAAAAAAATAAACCTGTCCAGCCAGTGTGGCTCAACGGTTGAGTATCAACCCATACACCAAGAGGTCACCGATTCAGTTCCTGGTCAGGACACATGCCCAGGCTGTGGGCCTGATCCCCAATGGGGGGCATGCAGGAGGCAGTCAATCGATGTTCTCTCTCATCCATGTTTCTATCTCTCTCTCCCTCTCATTTCCTCTCTCTCTAAAATCAATAAAGGAAACAAATAAATAAACAAACAAACAAACCTTTCTTGCCCTGACCAGTGTGGTTCAATTGGTTGGGGTGTAGTTCCATATACTGAAAAGCTTCAGGTTCGATTCCCTGATCAGGGAATGTACCTAGGTTGTGGGTCTGATCCCTGGTAAGTCAGGGCACGTACAGAAGGCAACCAATAGATGTTCTTTCTCATATAGATGTTTTTCTCTCTGTCTCCCTTCCTCTCTCTTTAAAATCAATAAGCATATCCTCATGTGAGGATTAAAAAGAAAAAAAAATCTTCCTTGGATATCTGGAACTGGAATTAAATAGGTTTCCTTGGGTTGGACACCAGTCAAACAAACTTTTACACCTTGAATTTTCTCTCTACACAGCTGCCAGTACAGGCTTTTGAAACAACAATCGGATCACAGAGTTGCCCTGATTAAAACTTTCAACTGCTTTCCATCATTTTACAATCTGTCCTGCAGTCTCTCTTATCACTCTCCCCTCTGCTCTGCCTGCTCTGTGGACCTAAGCTCACACTCATATCTGAGCTTTATTCACTTTACTCTGCTCAGAATATTCTTCTCCCAAATCTATACATGGCCCCACATCATTCCAGACTGCTCAAAACCACACATCAGCTCTGGCCGGTTTGGCTCAGCGGTTAGATCCTCGGCCTGCGGTCCGGAGAGACCCGGGTTCGGTTCCCGCTAAGGGCACGTACCTCGGTTGCGGTTTGTCCCCGGCCCTGGTTGGGTCGTGTGGGTGGCAGCCACTCGATGTGTCCCTTTCACATCGATGTCTCTCTCTCTCTCTCTCTTCCTTCCACTCTATCTCAACAAAATTTTTTTTTTTTTAATGTCCTCGGGTGAGGATTAAAAAAACAAACACACAAACAAACAAAAAAACCGCACATCATCATTTGAGACCTTTCCTGATCATGCCATCAAAAAAGAGATTCCCACCTCTCCACCCTCTTACTCTGATTTATTTTCTTCATAAATTTATCACCATCTGAAATGTATTCATCTTTAGTTATTGTTTGTCTCACCTAGCGGAAAGTAAACTCCTTAAGGGTAGGGCCCTTGTCTGTATAGTTAGTCCATTGTTTACATATTCATAGCTCCTTCTGCACTGCCTACTGCTTAATAGTCACTCAATAAATACTTGTGGGAGGAGAGAAGAGGGTAGGGGTTGGAGAAATACACATTTAGAAAAGGAGGAAGGTGTTTTAATGACTCCTTAATTTTGTACTAAATAATCCATCCACTATTACCCAGAGAAATAATACAAAGAGCAAAGCAGTCATTTCTGCTGGCCAGTTGATCAGAACTTACCTTTGCTTCAGGTGTCACTACTGGCTTTGGCGGAAACTGCACTTCAGTAGCTTTAAGGATAGTATTTTCTTGTAGAATGTCTTGCTGGGACTGGTTATGGCCAAAAGGCTATCATATTGAAACAAAATGAAAAAACAAAGGTGGGCCTCCAGTTAAAGCAAAAGACAATTCAAAACCCCAGGAAGGAAAGACGGCATCTTAATGAGAACAGTATAGGGAACTGTGGAGATAATTTTCTTGAATTCTCTCATCTTGATAGATAAAGGGTGCAGAAGGCTCGAGCTTAACCGACACTGAGGTTAAGGCAGAGAAGAAACCAGAAGCAGCATCTGCTATATCATATCTCTGCTAAACTTTGCTTACAGCAAAGAAAAAGAAGATTCAGAGCAGAAACCAGTACCCTCTTTTGCCCTGCGGGCTTAAGTAATACATATGTGTGACACCAGCAGACCCAAGACACAGATAAAAAAAGATGGAAAAGTAAAAAAGTAGAAGGGGGTAAGGTCAGAGTGTGGAGGGGAGACAAACAAAACAAGAATTGGGGCTACTTAGTGGTTTCATCTGTGCCCTAAAATGCCATTTTCTAATAAATTGGGCTCAAGCCTAGTGTCATTTCTACAGTGTTTCAACAGAGAGGTCACAAAACCACCCTTCCTAGCCCAGCAGAGTGTGGCTCAGTGGTTGAGCATTGACCCATGCACCAAGAGGTAGCTGGTTTGATTCCCAGTCAAGGGCACGTGCCCAGGTTGTAGGCCAAATCCCCAGTGTGGGGCATGCAGGAGAGAGCCAATTAATGCTCTCTCTCATCAATGTTTCTTTTCTTTTTTTTAATCCTCACCCGAGGACATTTTTTGATATTTTGTTCAGATAGAGTGGGAGGGGGAGAGAGAGAGAGAAACATCGACATGAAAGGGACACATTGAGTGGTTGCCACCCGCACGACCCAACCAGGGCCATGGACAAACTGCAACCGAGGCATGTACCCTTAGCGGGAACCGAACCTGGGTCTCTCTGGACCGCAGGCCGACACTCTAACCGCTGAGCTAAACTGGCCAGGGCACCCGAGGACATTTTTGCATTTTATCTTCAGATAGAGCAAAAGGAGAGAGGGAGGAAGAGAGAGAGAGAGAGAAACATCAATGGGAGAGAAACACATCAACTGATTGCCACCCACACAACCCCAACTGGGGCCGGGGACAAACTGCAATCGAGGTATGTGCCCTTAGCAGGAACTGAACCCCGGATTCTCTGGTCTGCAGGCCAATGCGCTAACCGCTGAGCAAACTGGCCAGGGCTCTCATTGATGTTTGTATCTCTCTGTCCCTCTCCTTTCTTCTCTCTCTAAAATCAATAAAGAAAAAAAATTAATAACAAAAAACAAACAACCCTTCTTAGATAATCTTTGCCATCACTCTCAGCAGCACTTCCACATTGTCAGAGTATAAATAATAACCCTTGCCCTGGCCGGTTTGGCTCAGAGGTTGAAGCATCAGCCTGTGAACCAGAGAGTCCTGGGTTCAGTTCCCGCTGGGGGCATGTACCAAAAAATAAACGAACAAACAAACAAATAAATAAGACCCTTCCTAGTCCTGAGTAGCTTCCCCAGATTAGAGAAGTGGGATAAAGAAACAAAGGAAACAAAATGTTAAAGAAGAAACTAAATCTGAATTAAAAGCTCTATCTGGGTTTGTAATACAAATATATATATTTTTAATTTTATTCATTTTTTTTCCTTTATTGGTTTCAGTGAGAGGAAGGAACAGGGAGAGAGAGATAGAAACATCGATGAGAAAGAACATCAACTGGCCGCCTCCTGCATACACCCCACTGGAGATTGGGCCCATAACCTGGGCATGTGTCCTGATCAGGAACCAAATCGGCGACCTCTTGGTGCATGGTTCAACACTCAACCACTGAGCCACACAGGCCGAACTGTAATAAAAATATTAAGAGCCCACCCACTTCCCTGTCCTGGGCTCCTCTCGCTTGACCCTCACTTCCTTTATAAAAAAAGGAAAAAAAGCCCTGGCCAGTTTGGCTCAGCAGTTAGAGAGTCAGCCCGCGGACCAGAGAGTCCCAGGTTTGGTTCCTGCTCAGGGCACGTACCTCGGTTGCAGTTCATCCCTGGCCCTGGTTGGGGTCGTGTAGGTGGCAACCAGTCGATGTGTCTCTCTCAGGTCAATGTTTATCCCTCTCTCCCCGCCCTCCCCCACCAACTCTATCTGAAGATAAATGTAAAACTGTCCTCAGGTGAGGATAAAAACTAAAGTAAAAAAATATTAAGATCCTAGCCCTGGCCAATTTGGCTCAGTGGTTAGAACTTCAGCATGCGGACCAAGGATCACAGGTTTGATTCCAGTCAAGGGCACATACCTTGGTTGTGGTTCATTCCCAGCCCTGGTTGAGGTCGTGCAGGAGGCAACCGGTCGATGTTTCTCTCTCTCCCTCCCTCCCACTTTATCTGAAGATAAACAGAAAAATATCCTCAGGTGAGGATTAAAAAAAATAATAATGAAATAAAAAATAAAAATACTAAGAGTACAGCATTGCAGAACTCCCAAATGACTTATACTCACAGCCTAAGGAAAACATTGAAACGTACAAACACACTGACAGCAGAAATATGAGTAGAAATACACAGCTGGATCCTAATACACACATATTTAAGGTATTATACTCACAAGGGAAAAACAAATGTGAATATTCAGTAGGTGTACTTTACCACCCAGGTTATTACTTATATTCTAATGATGTATCACTTTGCTCAGAGGTAACAGACAATGAATACTTTCTGGACCGCAGGCCGACACTCTAACCGCTGAGCCAAACCGGCAGGGCCAGACAATGAATACTTTCTGATACCACCTTCCAGTATAGAAATATAAAGCATGCTTTTGTTAATAATAGCTTTAACTAATGGGGCAGTTGGGAATAAAGAACCCTGCAGATATTTCCAGTTTCAAGTATGGGGACCCTCAAGAATGACTTTTGGGAAGATTGTATACTTTAATAAACTATTTCACATAATTCCTTATAGCATATTATTAGAATCAAAACATACCATGGATCTAATTGAGAACAGCAAAAAAAAATGCATGTTTTTCACAGCCCAGTAGAATTCATTAGGTGCTCAGGATTGAAAATTTCTGCTTATACATAAAGCTACTATTATAAAGTCTGTATTCTGTTCAAACCACAACTTTCAAGATTCCATTTTGTATAATCCAATGATTAACCCCAACAGGATAATCCATATCATGCCACTCTGTACATGCACCACCCAAGACAGAAGTCAAGCCACCACATCTGACCTTCTTTCTTACCTTCCTTCCATAAAGACACTGGTAGAAGATCACACCCACTGACCAGACGTCAACTTTATTTGAGATCTTTGGTGGTTCTTTCCCAACCACAAAACACTCTGGTGGTAAATACCTGGAACAAAAAGGAAATAAGAATTCTTAGAAAAACGACTGTATAAATTAAGACATGTGCAGGTGAAGGAGAAGACCTTGCTGGAAATTAATATAAATAAATTTTAACAGCTAAAAAAGCAACTTAGACTTAACTGGAGAAAGTCAATGAAAAGACATAAAAATAAGGAGGCAGTAATATCCTATAAAGGCTTAAAATACTTATCTCAATTCACTGAGAGGTAAATATTCTCTCTAGTTCCTTCTACCCACAACAGCCTCCTTTCCCAGGGTTTCCCTAATATAAGTGTCACTCAACAAGTTTAAATGGGGCATAAAAGATGTGCACTCCCTTCTATGACAGCTGCATCAACAAACATTAACATGTGACCAGAGGTGGTGTCAGTTTCCTTTCACGTTAGCTAAAGGTGATGTTGTAAAATAACTGTTTAAAAAGTCCCAATGATTTCAGGACCGAGCAGAAATCTCTGAGGGGAATGACTATCTCTCTTCTTAATGTAGCTTCTCTGGGTAATCTGGACTGGAAATAACTACAATATGTAATCAAAGGGGTCATTCAAGTCCGTATTATCAAGAGATGTTTTACATTTCCCACGTCCGTATTATCAAGAGATGTTTTACATTTCCCACTTCAAGGGTGACCAGGGGATTACTGGAAAACCAATAGGGCAGAAAAAGCTAAACAAACTAGTTTGTCTGCACAACTCAATCCTCATCTGAATTCTTTCCCTTTCCACTCACTCCTGGCCTTCATCTAAAAAGACTAGCTGGACAACCAGCCACACCAAATTGTATGGTATGGAAGGTGAGTGCCTCTTGGCATTTAGGAAACCAAACAAGTATGATTCCACTCATTGGCTGGTGTCTTAGCTATGGCATAGATGGAAGGCAGAATTCTATAGATAACAGATCGATTTCTGCAGATTTCATGCTGCCAAAATCAATTCTGTGAAAAACTCTTTTAGACCCTACTGTGCTTCTTGGTATAAAAATCTAACTTATAGCTTGAAGGTGACCACAAGAGTTGAGAGTTAGAAAAATGATGGGCTTTCTTCTTTTTAAAAAAGTTTAGTTTCATGTTTTTTCTTATTTATTATTTTTAATCCTTACCCGAGAATATTTTTCCATTTATTTTTCACACAGAGTGGGAGGGAAGGAGAGGAGGGGGTGAGAGAGAGAGAGAGAGAGAGAGAGAGAGAGAAACATCTACTGGTTGCCTCCCGCACGACCCCAACTGAGGTACATGCCTTGACCAGAACTCAATCCTGAACTCTTTGGTCCGCAGGCAGATACTCTAACCACTGAGCCAAACTGGCCCAGGGCTTATTTATTATTATTTTTTTCTCTTTATTGATTTTTTGAGAGCGAGAGGGAGAGAGAGAGAGAAACATCGATGAGAGAGAACATTGACTGGCTGCCTCCTGCATGCCCCTCACTGAGGATTGGGCCCACAACCTGGGCACATGTCTTGACTGGGAATCGAACTGGCGACCTCTTGGTGCATGGGTTGACACTCAACCACTGAGCCACACTGGGTGTATTATTTATTATTTTTAACAGTCATATTTGGATGATTAAGACCACTGACCCAAACTACTATTTCACAATGAAAACTTTCAGCCAAAACACACATTGAGAAATGAAAATACAGATACAGAACTCACAAAGAAAGGGGAAATGGCAAAGAAACAATATAGATAAAAATTATTTAAAAAACAGCTTTGTCGCCCTGGCCAGTTTGGCTCAGCGGTTAGAGCGTCGGCCTGCGGTCTGGAGAGACCCGGGTTCGGTTCCCGCTAAGGGCACGTACTTCGGTTGCAGTTTGTCCCCGGCCCTGGTTGGTCGTGCGGGTGGCAGCCACTCGATGTGTCCCTTCACGTCGATGTTTCTCTCTCTCCCTTCCTCTCTCTTCCTCCCACTCTATCTGTACAAAAAGTGGAAAAATATCCTCGGGTGAGGATAACAAAAAAAAAAAAAAAAAACAGCTTTGTCAAATGCTAACACCATTTTGAACCCTAGTTTTCATGGTTCTTGAGTCTTTAACATATACAAAAAAATGACATTGGATATATAACAAAGAATTTTGATTCTTTTTTTTTCTATCCTTACCCAAGGACATTTTTCCACTTTTGTTCAGATAGAGTGGGAGGGAGAGAGAGGACAAGAAAGACAGAGAAACATCGACGTGAAAAGGACACATCAAGCGGCTGCCTCCCGCACGACCTCAACCAGGGCCAGGGATGAATCACAACCGAGGCACAGGCCCTTGACCAGAATAGAACCCGCGACTCATTGGTCCGCAGGCCGACGCTCTATCCACTGAGCGAAACCGACCAGGGCCAAAGAATTTGATTCTAAAATGATCGTTTTAATGTATTTATAACTTTTTTTGTGGAAGTGGTGGAGAAGAACAGAAGTTGTTGAACTTTTTCATATGCAGAGTAATAATTTAGCCAAATATTTAGAATACAAAAGACACTGCCATTTAATAGAAGTCTGGCAAATCACTTTCTAAGTCTAGTTTCCCCCGTCTGTAAATGAAGAAATAAACTAGTTCTTCACTCAAATACTGAAAATAATAAGCACTCTAATTCCCTATCAAGGACTTTGGGAGGAAGAGTAGACAACAGTCCTATGACACTATACTAAATTTTAAAAAACCAAACAAACATAGCCCTAGCCGGTGTTCTCAGTGGTTAGAGCACCAGCCCAAGAACCAAAGGATTCTGGGTTGGATTCCCGGTCAAGGGCATGAACATGAGTTGCATGAGTTGCAGGTTCAGTTCCTAGCCCTGGTCAGGGCACATGCGGGAGGCAACCAATTGATATGTCTCTCTCACATTGATGTTTCTTTCTCTTGCACACGCGTGTGCACACGTCCCCCCCCCCCCACTCTCTCTAAAAAAAACAAACAAAAATCAATGGATTAACCAAAAAAAAAACCCCAAAAGACAAAACTAACGAACATAGTAGCACATTTCATGATGATAAAATACTCAAGGGAAAAATGATTCTCAAGGCCTAATCTACAGGTCACTTACTTAAAAGTAGTAGTTAGGCCTTGGCCGGTTTGGTTCAGCTGTTAGAGCATCAGCCCGTGGACCAGAGAGTCCCGGGTCAGTTCCCACTAAGGGCACGTACTTTGGTTGTGGTTCGTCCTCGCCCCAGTTGGGGTCATGTGGTGGCAACCAGTTGATGTGTCTCTCTCACTTTGATGTTTCTCTCTCTCTTCCTCCTTCCCTTCCCTCCTGCTCTATCTGAAAATAAATGCGAAAATGTCCACGGGTGAGGACTAAAAAAAAAGTAGTACTTAGCTCTGGCCAGTGTGGCTCAGTTGGTTGAGCATTGCCCGGTGCACTGAAAGGTTGTCAGTTCAATTCCAGGTCAGGGCACATGCCCGGGTTGTAGGCTTGATCCCCAGTAGGGGGCGTGCAGGAGGTAGCTGATAGATGTTCACATCAACGTTTATCTCTCTCTCTCTCTCTTTTCCCCTCTCGCTAAAAATCAATAAACTCTTTTTTTATAAGTAGTATTTAATGTAGAATAATTCTAGCACAATCAAATACTACATACAGTCACTTAGAATTATGTCCTCCTGTCTATCTGGTAGCTCTCTGGGACATCATAAGATGACATATTGAAGATGGTGATTATGATAATGCTTCTACGAATATGGGGGTTTTTTAAACTTCCATAGAAACGCATAAAATTTAATTTACTCAGTAGCCCCTCTCTATCTTGCTCTTTTTTTTTATCCTCACCCGAGGACATTTTTCCATTTTTTGTACAGATAGAGCGGGAGGGAGAGAGAGGAAGGGAGAGAGAGAGAGAAACATCGACGTGAAGGGACACATCGAGTGGCTGCCACCCGCACGACCAACCAGAGCCGGGGACAAACTGCAACCAAAGCACGTGCCCTTAGCGGGAACCGAACCCAGATCTCTCCGGACCGCAGGCCGGCGCTCTAACCACTGAGCCAAACCGGCCAGGGCTCTATCTTGCTTTTTACTATGAAAAACAACTTCAAATATAACTGAAAGTAGAAAAAATAATAAAACAAACCCCCAAGTAATCATCATCTAGCTTCAGTATCTATCAACACTCAGTGAATCCTTATTCATATACATCCCTCTCCGCTTCCCCTGACTGCTTTGAAGCTAATCCCAAACATCATATAATTTTTATTTAAATTCCAACCACTGAAATTTAAAAATTATTTTATTGATTTTTTTTAGAGGGAGAAACATCGACTGACTACCTCCTGCACGACCCCTACTGGGGAATCAAGCCCACAACTTGGGCATGTGCTCTGACCAGGAATTAGGAATCAAACCAGTGACCTCTTCGGACAACGCTCAATCCTCTGAGCCACAATGGCCAGGCTCAACCACTGAATTTTTATAACTTAGCAAGTACAGCAATAGGTAGCAATGATTTGAAAATTAAGTATGAAAAGGCTTCACCTTTTATTTATTTGTGTGTGTGTGTGGTACGTGCCCCTAGCGGGAACCGAACCCAGGACTCTCTGGTCCGCAGGCCGACCCTCAACCGCTGAGTCAAAAGGCTTCACCTTTTAAAAAGAACAAGCTATCAAACAAAAAGTTCAAGTTCAAGTTCTAGTGACTTTATATAGAAGAGTTATACACCTGTTTCCAAAATTTCCGACAGCAGATATTCTTGTATCATTTAATGACAGGAACACTAACCCACAATAACCACCATAGTGAACAAACACTGTAAATGTAGCTTCTATTTTAAACCTAAAATCTCAAAGTTTTAATTTAGTGACCGATTTTCACTATAGGTACCACCTCCACAAACAATAGTGGAAACCAGAAATTTTGTGTTTTTAGCAGGATTTGATTGGTTCTTTAATATACATAACTTAAATACGATCAGACTGATGAGAACAGGGCTGATCCTGCATGTTGTGAAAGATACCCTTGCTTTTCTCTGTCTGCTTCAGATCAACACCTTCATTCCCAGACAGTCACTAACTATTCTATAGTCTCAAACATAAGTAATCAGACCAGCTGACTCTGGAGTATAAAAGCATGTGTTACCCATCTCTTTGTGCTGCTACTGGAAGCTTTTTTCATGTTCAGAATCACACATACGTGGCTTTGTGTTACTACCACAGATGTGAAGAACATGGCAGCTCTGTTAACACACATTTACGATCACAAAGTTAAATGCCTGAGCTGTAGGAATCTTTTACGGTTTTCACTGTCAAAAGTCATATTAGGTGGAAGTAGGATATGTCATAGAACAGGCAGGTAGAGTTAGCTGAGGTAGGGTGGTTGGGGAGAGATAAGTAACAATAGATGGGAAGAAATGTGGCTCAAAACCTTTTAAAATGTGGATGCAATAGATGGATACATTTCTTAGCAAATTGCAAACTTTTTCCTATTTAGATTGCAAGGGTTGCTTTTAACATCCTGATCTTCAGAACTCCTTAGTTCTTGAGAATCCATTATTCTTGGGCAACTCTAGAAAAAAGTCCCTCAGCCCATTAACCCATGAAGAGAGAGACCTATATTTGTACTGAAAATAATTTAAGGCCATTCTTTTTTTTTTTATCCTCACCCGAGGACATTTTTCCATTTTTTGTACAGACAGAGTGGGAGGGAGAGAGAGGCAGGGAGAGAGAGATAGAAACATCGACGTGAAGGGACACATCGAGTGGCTGCCACCCGCACGACCAACCAGGGTCGGGGACAAACTGCAACCAAGGTACGTGCCCTTAGCGGGAACTGAACCCGGGTCTCTCCAGACCGCAGGCCAACCCTCTAACCACTGAGCCAAACTGGCCAGGGCTAAGGCCATTCTTTATACACAAAGGAGCAACCTCACTCTCTCCCTACTCACTAGGGCCAACCCTATGGCGGAAACACACAACTCAAACATCTGACCACACATAATCTCTCTCTCAATGGTTTTCAGAAAAGGAAAGAAAAATCAAGACAATATAAATATAAGAGTCAAGCTGCTGAAAAGACAGTAACTTTTGGGGAGAAAAATATGCTTTGGTTTATAGCATTACTGCCTAAGCAGACAGGATATAGATATTAACTATGAATTACCAACACTTCAAGTATAGCACAGCCACCTCTCCACCAGCCAACTTGGCAGATCTCCCAGATACCTACCAATAAGTACCAGCACCTTGTGACGTTAGCTCCATGCCATCCACTGAATTGTAGCTATCATCATCCATGATCTTGGAAAGACCAAAATCTGTGATTTTTATCTCTCCACATGCTGTACCATTTACTAAAAGAATATTACCTAAAAAGATAAAAATCTTCATGAATAAAAAGAGACTTACTAATTAAGAGAAAAATCCAAGGTAATAACAGACATGAAGAGGACAACTGAACTCAAACTCCTACACACGATACTAAACATCTAAATCCCCCGAATAAAATGATCTGGACTCTGAATGCTGAGGGAAGAGTCCTCAGTGTCTGGCTGCAACCTTCTATTTTCCAAGAATCACCTGCTTAATGTGCCAAAACCACCACTATGAGCAGTGGAAATAAATTATAACTTGCCAAAGTAAAATATCACTTGTACAGTTAGTAAAAAATGGTGGGAAAGTTTCATCTGAACTTTCAGTTAAGGATTTCTAAACCACTGTATTTAGAACATTAGTTTCAAGGGGGAAAAAAATCAAAGAAAATATACAAGGGAATCAAAGATAGTACCACAGTGCCACCTACAGCTCCTAAGGAAACTGTACAGTGATGGAAAACTCATCACACAATGGCCAACTCTCTAAAAAATCACTTCATTGTAATGGATTTTTAGTCATGTGAACTGTATTAGAACATTAAAGAATAATGAACCGTGAGAGTTAATATGTAGCTACCAGAAGAAGAAAGCAAACTTAACAACTGTGCCACACCAGAAAGTAAATGGGAATCATCTTTCTAATACCAAAGCTAAACTGGTTGGAGCTTTCCACAGAGAATACATGCAAATGTCACCAAAAAATAGAGGCAAGCAGTCCAACTGTCCTCTACTTTTTGCTGATGACTATCCAAGTTAGATAGTGACCATACAAAAAGATGAAAAACTCTGCTCTGAATTTAATGAAATGGGAGATATGTGTGCAAAATAAGTCATTAATTTTTAAGCACTTGAGGAACTGCTATGCAGTGTGAGTAATGGGAAAAAACAAAGTGGAGCTTGCCAGAATAGTTCTTTTTAAATTGGACTGACATCATAAACTGCCCTAGCTCTAAAGACAGGGCTTTGTTTCTCTGGAGCATTTATTATGACTCGCTCTCCTAAACCCAGTGCTGGGTGGCCAGGGCTCTTCTATTCCCACACCTACTCAAGCAATCTAAAGTCAGATGGTTATAGACCTTCTTGGCTCCTGCCAAATTCTCTCACTTTATAAAATTAAAATTTATTTATAAGACCAAAGAAAAGTCACCAATACTGTCTCCTAAAAGTTAGACATACCTGGTTTGAGGTCATAGTGTATGATGGGAGGTTTTATTTCATTTAAGTACTTTAAAGCATTCACAATCTGCATGATAATGGACCGGGCCTCTTTCTCCGACATTAATTTGTGCTGTTTCAGGTAGAAGTCCAGATCATTTCCCTCACAGTATTCTAATACTGTACAAAACCTAAAGACAAATAAACCAACATTTGACCGCAAGATGAGAGCAAGCAGCAGATTAAGACTAACTAAACCAGCCCCAGTGAAAACTTCAGGTAATTAGCTTCTCCTTTCTTCTTTGTTCCTTAAAATATTCTTCTATTCTTTATTCAGTATTAGCTATTTGGGCGGGCACAGGAAGAAACAGCTTACTCTCTTGTTGAAGAGCCTACACACACCCCACATTGGAAAATGTGCTGAAGTTCACCCATGGCATACCTCAGCTGTAATGTATTTAAGACAGCTACCTTTTTGGAAGGGTCTCCTTTACATATCCATGTCCTGCCCCATTTCTAAACAAGCATATTGTGACCAAGTACAAAGTTCTCACTACAAACATTTTCTATGACCCTGAGTGCTGACAGTGAGGAAAAATCTTGGGCTTGCCCAGGTCCCAAGGATTGGTTGCATAGCATGCCTTCTAGTAGCTTCACACAATACTGTACTATAATTTCTCTTTGCTAAACACAAGGTATAAAAGAGCTTTTTAATAGTATCTATGGTTCTAACAAATGTGTTATTACACAGTATGGGTTTTCTTCCTTCACTTGTATCAATCAATATATTAAAAGGACCCAAATTTAAAACTGCATACCATTCGTGGCATTAAGGGTCATGTGTTTATCTTTCAAGGCAGTTATAAACTGAAGTAAGGCATCCTGAACTGTTTGAGTGGTCCTGAGAGATGAATACCTTTTACACTATTCTGAGCTGTGACAATATGGTTGTATCACCCAGGTCTAGCCAGGAAATAAAAATCACTAAAGTATTTATAACAGAGAGGCTTTAATTCAGGGAACTAAACACATAGAGGATGAAAAATCTGAGAAAACAACTGGCCAGTGAGGCACCCCAGAAATCATCTAGAGCAGGAAGCCATTAGCACCCTAAGGGCAGAGAGGGCTGAGGAAGATGGTGCAATCAGAACCCAGGGTCATCAAAGTGGAGACATAGGGTGGGGTGGGGGTGGGGTTCCTCCATCCACCACATACATCTGTCTCCCTACTGGCTGAACTCAGTTGAATAACTGACATAGGAGCCTGGTAAACACAGCCTGCAAGGGCCAACTCACCTAAGATGCTGAACAGGGGAAGAATGAAGAGCAGGTCTGAGAGTAAACAAATTCAGGACTAAAACTATTGGCCTCTGGGCAATTTGAGGCCTTCAAAATGCACTGCAATGAAATGTGGACATAGGTAGTCCTATGGGATCCCAAACTGAACAACAGCTTTATGCTTCTTATGAAACATACTAGGGCATGCTAGCACCCTATTTGAGAATGCTTGAAATTTGTAGATTCTATGATCTGAGACACTGAAATCTGAGATATGGATTCTCATGCTTAGTTGACTTATTCTTTGAACCAAATGAACGTTGAAAATAAAACCTCACTTTTAATACTCAACTCATAGAGGACTTTCTAAAATGATGGTCTGACTTACTTTCAATGAAAATACATCATACACCCAACAAGAACAATGTAAACAATTTAAGAATATCACAGGTTCAACTCAATTTCTCAGATTAGTTAAAAGTATGTATACAATTCAAAACAGCAGGTAATCTAAGTCATTGTATTTATCTTTGAAATAGTTTGTGTACTTACAGTTGGGGGGGTGGTAAGGGTCCCACCCAGTATTCAAGGAATTTATTCAAAGCAAACAGTAAAGCCACCCTGTGGAGACCTCTTTCTACCTAGATATTGTTCTGAACCCCACTCCATGCTTAACACACAAGGCTGGCTATTGCCCAGTGCAAGGGCCACCCTATTGGAAAGGGGAAATCCCAGAGCAGATGAAAGAAGAGAGTTCATGTTCCCAAAGGGAACTGTGGTCTCCTTTTAGGGTCATTTCTAAATATGGGCTGGTTCTCTGTGTAGCAATCTCTGAGACAGCTGCTGCCTGAAACAGGCCAAAACTCCTAAAATTACACTGGGGGGCTAAGAGGAACACCTGTAAGCCATACCCAGAGTATGTTCCCCTGACTCAGTCCAGACTCCTACCAAGAAAATGTTTCCAAATGCTGAAACATTTCTCAACTCCTAGATAAACCCAGAAGTGCTAGAGCTTACCTATACCTGGGTAATGAAATTCAACAATACCCAAGATTATTAAAGATCTTAGACAAGTCATTTAATTTCTGATTCTCAAATCTCCACTGAACTGAGATCCCTCCCAATTCTAAAATCCTCTAAGCCTATGAACCTATATTTTAACACTTAGTATTGGGCAATGTCTTCATTTATGCCACATTCATTTTCACTCTATGATAAAATCACATTGCTGGTACTTCTTTAAAAGGCCTGTCAGTATTTATTAGTTGCAAGGGTGGGGCAGAGACTCTATTGAACAGTCCACACTCACTGGTGCATGTAACTGGTATGCTGGCACCAATTTGTGACAGGTTCTGAGAGCTGATAGCTAAATTTTCAGGAATTTTGTGAACTGGTTATTAAAGTTTAAATAAAGAGATAAACAAAAGGTGGTTATTGTCCATACAGTGGAATATATCTGGTCATAAAAAGGAAGGAAGTTCTGATACATGCTACAAGGATAAACCTTGAAAAAAAATCAACCAAGTGAAAAAAGCCAGCCACAAAAGTCCACATCTATATGATCCATTCATATGAAAGTCCAGAATAGGAACTCTATAGAGACAAAAATGGATTAGTGGTTGCTTAGGGCTGGGGGTAGGGGGTGAAGAAATAGGGAGAGGGAGATGATAGCAAAAGGTATGGGGTTTCTTTTTGAGGTGATGAAAATGTTCTAAAGTTGACTATGAAGATGGTTGTGCATTCTGTGAATATACGAAAAACCACTGAATTGATTGTATATTTTAAAACAGCTATTTTCAACCAGTGTGCTATAGCAGGAATTTTTAAAACATGTAATACTTGACTATATAGTCAGGGGTACTACCTCTTTTCTCTTAGATTGTCAAATAAAAAATGACAACAGCCAAAACACAACAATAGCCGTCCGGTGTAAATGAATCAAAATTATACCTTTATTTTTTTTTTTGTCAGATCGGCAAAAAACACATTTTTTGGTGTGCCACAGAATTTTAGTAGTTTAGTTGTGCCATGAGATGAAAAAGGTTGAAAATTGCTGCTTCAAAAGGATAAACTATATGGTATATAAGTTGTATCTCCAGAAAGCTGGGGTTTTTTAAATTGATAGCTTGAAATTAGACATGTTGAAAGTATTATACCACAGAATTGGCAAATACTATGAATTACCCCCGTCTCCCTCCCCACAAGCTGGATGTTAAACATTTACCAGCACCAACTACACACATCCTGTGGCCAAGAGATGGCGTGCTGGCCCAACTCTTAATTCACATGATTATTTGCCCATAAATAAATATATTTGGTTCCCTTAAAGAATTTTTCCTGAGCCCAGATTTAAACTCTATTCCATGCGTAGTCAACACACTACAAGAAAACAGTATTTAACTGCTAAGCTGAAATGGTGTAGCACTTACGAGTCAGTGTCCAGTGAAAAGTAATCGTACAGCTTAACTATTCTGGGATGATCCAGTTCTTTGTGAATCCGGTATTCCCTACATGCATGCCTGTAAACAAAAATGAAAATTAACATTTTATATTCTGGCCTTTTAGAATTCATCAAGGATAATCCTACATATTCTCTTATTTCTCTACTATTTCCACCTACTCATTCTATTTATTCCATTCAGATCATCTGGTTTCCTTAGTTTTCCTCATCCTATTTTCTCTACTTGTATCTACGAAGCTGTTGAAAAAATAGTAGATGCTCAAATATTTGTTAACTAAATGGATTGGATTTTTATCCTTTTCAAGTTCATTCAGTGACAATCTCACCTCTTTTCTATTTATACCCAAATATTAGAGATTTAAAAATTATAAAGACAGCTTTTTTCCCCTCTCTTCTAAAGCTGATACTTCAAATCTATAAATGTTTATATATTAGGGTTACATCAAGAGGATCAATTAGCATACAAACTCCTTGGGTAAAAAGAGTCCTGGTTATATAAGGCAATTAGCAGTGTTTTGTATTTATTTTTAAATCCTACTCCTTACAAAAAGGATTTAAAGGGCTATCAGTTTTACTTTCTTCAAAGAAAATGTGAAATTGATAGAAAATCTGAAATTATGAAAACCCCAATTTTTTTAGAACAAAAATTTAAATATGTGTTACAAGTATTTTTTTAGTATTTTCCCAATTCAGAAGCATTTAATAAGATAAGGAACACAAATGTACTATATATATTAGGACATATTCATACATTAAATTTTAAAAGAATAGAATGTATTTACATAAAATAATTACAAATAATTTTTAAAGTATTTAGCTCTTATTTACAAACAACAACAGGAAGTTACTATATTTTAAGTAACCTAGCACCATTTAATTCAGGGCATTTTGTTATAAGACAAGAGTCATTAAAAAAAAAAAAAAAGCCCTGGCCGGTTTGGCTCAGCGGTTGGAGCCTGCGGTCCGGAGAGACCCGGGTTCGTTTCCCGCTAAGGGCATGTACCTCGGTTGCAGTTTGTCCCCGGCCCTGGTTGGTCGTGCGGGTGGCAGCCACTCGATGTGCCTCTTTCACGTCGATGTTTCTCTCTCTCTCTCTCTCCCTCCCACTCTATCTGTGCAAAAAATGGAAAAATGTCCTCGGGTGAGGATAAAAAAAAAAAAAAAGAACTTTCACCCAGCCAGTGTAGCTCAGTGGTTGAGTGTTGACCCATGCACCAAGAAGTCGCCAGTTTGATTCCCAGTCAGGGCACATGCCCAGGTTGTGGGCCCGATCCCCAGTGAGGGGCATGCAAGAGGTAGCCAATCGATGTTCTCTCTCATCGATGTCCCTATTCCTCTCTAAAAATCAATTAAAAAAATTTTTTTAATTAAAAAAAAAGAAAAGAACTGTCCACAGTATAGTAAAATAAAATTTAAAAAAAGTGGTGTTTTCAGAAATTGGTGTATTCCAGCATATCAAAAATACATAGAAAAGTAGTTAACCAACAAAAAGCTGAGAAACTAATTGGGGGTGGGGGAATAGAAATCTAAAAGTATTAAATATATATCTTTTCCCCAATGGAAACTTTGACTAGGCTTATTTTTCAAGCTGCCACTTTTGGCAGTTTTTACTTCTTCTGATGCTTCATGTTATCATCTTTATGTCTTCCTGAAAAGAAAGACTTGCCACACTTATAGTAGTATTAGAACACATACTAAACCAGGACCCAGAAACCTGGCTTCAAGTCTGGACTCTGTGACCCCACCGCACTGGGCTTCACCACCACTGTACTGGATTGGCTGTTCTAAAGGGGGCTCACTGCACTCTGGTCGGTTTGGTTCAGTGGTTAAGAGCATCAGCCCGAGGACCAAAGAGTTGTGGGTTCGATTTCCAATCAAGGGCATGTACCTGGGTTTCAGGTTCGATCCCCCACCTGGCCGAGGTTGTTCGGGAGGCAACCAATTGATGTGTCTCTCTCACATGGATGTTTCTTTCTCTTTCTCTCTCTCTCTCTCTCCCTACCTCCCACTCTATCTAAAAATATCAATGGAAAAACATCCTTAGATAATGATTTAATAAATAAATAATAAAGGGGGCTCACTGGAGATTCAAGCCTCCTGAGCCCCTGTGGAGACACTGAGCCAAGAAAGGCAGCTTTGGGCCAACCCCCCATTCCACCAAAGCAGCTCCACACTTGTCCTTTTTCACATATCGATTTCACGTAATATTTCATTTGGTGAAATAAAGGTGATGCTGTTCAGAAAACAAGTTTAGAAACCTATGGACTAAATTGGTAGCTGTTCTAGTCATTTTTTATTCTAACATGCTGCATATCCATAGTTCCCTGCACTTCAGTTTTAACATTTTGATTTTGTGCATTTCAGAGTAGAGAGCAATTTTTGTGTCAAGGTACAGAAAAGGCAAAATTAAAGAAGGTAAAAATTAAGAATCAAAGGAAGTGTCATTCAAACTCCTCACCAACTAAGGGAATTTGCTGTGTGTCACTGAAAGCACTCCCTTCAAGGTCACATCAGGCTTTAGGCCTGCTTCTCGTGCTTCATGAGGCAAGGCAGTGGCTCTGCCTTGTCCCTCATTTCAACTTAGCATCCAAGGGATTAATGCACTATAAATACAGAAACTTTACCAAGAAACTGGAAGAAACTTATCCACTAAAGTATTAGTCCTTGACTCTCTTACAAGCGGATATATATTTAGACTTTCAAAATGATGTTATCCTAGAAGATTACAAAAGTATCATATAAGAGTATACCATTTAAAATGCATTATTTATGCAGAAAGCTTTACATAAAAATGTCCTACCATAGAGTTTCTAATGTATTATTTTGGGGAGTTAAAGAAATCTAGTAACACCTATTAATGCTTTAATAATGCAAAAGTAAAACAATCAGTTTATTTTTTGTTTGTGGGGAAAGGAGGTACAAAATAGAACTCAAAATAAAACAACAGCCTTATACTTTCTTTTACTTTTTCCTTCCTTTTTTTACCCAAATAAATGTCCTGATTCCATATAGGACTGGAAAGTCATCCATGTGAAAGAAAAAGCAATTGAAAGACTTTATTTTGCAGGGTTAGAGTAGCATTTTCATATTTTATAATGTCACCACAACACTAAAGTATACTACTTTTTAGTTTAATACCGAATTTTTAAAGCACTCTCTACATGCGCTTGATATAAACCTCTTTAAGTTCAAAAAAGTTAATGACATTTTGCTAATTCATTATTATCTGTAACCTGAAATTCATCAGTATGATTTCATATCACTTAGCAAGAAAAATCTTTCAAAGAAAGGTGGAAGTGCTTAAGAATTTCCCCCACCAAGGATGAATGGAGGTCATATTAACTTAGCACACCCTCTCGTCTACTAGGAATAGGCCACTGCCCAGATGGCTCCACAGAGGTGGTCAGGCACCTGATTCCCTCCTCTGGTGAAGAAACAAAGAGCAGGCAGGCACCACTGTGAGCCTGAACTGGGCCAGTAAAGAGCTCAGAAAGATGAGACAATCCCCTTCCATTTGCTCTCTGACTATGTCTGGTAGAGAAATGTGAGAAACACAAGCAATTCATATCTACCAGGACTTGCCCAATTTGTCAAGTCCTGCCTTCAATACCTCACTGTTTCAAAATGCTGCAGTGTGAACATGCATCGGAGTTCTCTTTAAGGTCAGCCTAAAAGCTCGATACTGAGACAAGGTAATATAAGTACAGATCCAGACACGGGAACTATCTTCTTATACAGTCCTTGGTTGATCAATGTTGATCCCTTGTAGAGTCAACTGGTTTAGAGTGGTCAGTGCATACATAAGATAACTGGAAGGCATTTTAAAAGAGGAACATACACTGTTCCAACACTCTTAGGGACTCTGAGAGTCTCAATGTAATGGAGACATTTCTCATTTATAAGTGGTCAGAACAACATGTGGTTTCCTTCTCTGAAGTGCTCCTGGCATTCGCTGCAGCCTGCCATTCGTCCTTGCACGTCAAGCGACTGGAATGTACTTATAATAATGTAACTGCTCCTCAGAAGCATCTGGACTGCAGCTGCCCGTCACGTAAGATACACATGCAGGATGCCATGCATAAACCACATACAATCCCTTTTCCTACCTCTGCTAAACCCTGAACACTCTCTTTCCCAGTGCCAAGAGCCACTGCCAATCTGCATGGAATACGAAGAGTTCCTGGGTCTCCGATTAACAACAGGTATAAAGCAAGAGATACCTTGGTCCATGTGCCAAGAACTGGTTGATGATACAGAAATGTTTATTTTTCCCCTTGAGATTGAGAAGCCAACTAAAAGGCTACTTCAAAGTCCACTGCTTTTTTCCCTCCAAAGAACTATTTATAAGAAAAAACAAACAAAACTTCTTTTGGAGAAAGGAGGCAGGTTCTTTATATCAAAAGATGCTGTCTCCTCCTTTCAAGTATAGAACATGTCTAATTCAGTACTTATACCTACAACAAGGATACAATATTAAGCATAGTGGGGATCCTAATAGCAAATTAATTCTGTGTGGCCCCCAAAGCAAATGAGTCATGAATTGCAATGTTCTGAAGCTCAGAAGAAACAAGCAAAACCTGACATTAATGGAACAAAGAAACCTGTAATAACTATTCATTCTAAAGAAGTCACCCCCTACCCCAAGTACAGATGAGGGCCACTACTAGTGGCATTCTGAAGAGAGACAAGCACAGTAAATGGGACACTTAAGATCAAGGACTTTGCCCTGGCCAGTTTGGCTCAGCGGTAGAGCGTCAGCCTGCGGTCCAGAGAGACCCGGGTTTGGTCCCCGCTAAGGGCATGTATCTCGGTTGCGGTTTGTCCCCAGCCCTGGTTGGGTCGTGTGGGTGGCAACCACTCGATGTGTCCCTTTCACGTTGATGTTTCTCTCTCTCTCTCTCTCTCTCCCTCCCACTCTATCTGAACAAAAAATGGAAAAATGTCCTCGGGTGAGGATTAAAAAAAAAAGACCAAGGGCTTTGAGATGGGCAAACTGTGCTGGGGGAGGTGAGCACAGCACTGAGGAGCTGAACAAGTCAAACAAGTGCCACCAAGGCACCCTAGGTCTCCCGACCCCACTGTTCTGTCTCCTCCATAATGAAATGACTTCAACAGCTAAAAAACTCCCACCAAACACTTCCCAGGGTCCCAGACCACTAAAGGACACTCTCATTTGGTTTCTACAGACAAGCAACAACGATTTCTGAGGCTTTATTATAGCTAATTTTATACAAGACAATGGAAGGGGAGGTTAAGAGCATGGGTTTTGGATTAAGGGAAGGATAGATTTAAATGGTATTTCGGCCATTTCTTAACTATTAGCCAAATTCTCTAAGTATCAGTTTCCTCATCAATAAAATGGAAAATTTATTCTCTCTCTTAGAACAGTTATGAGGATTGAATGAAACAACAATACCTGTAAAGCTCTTAACACAGTATTCAAACTTCAGCTAGTATTATTAAATTTTGAAAAATCAGACACTCAAGTATCACTTACTTGTGGTAATTCTCCTTTTTTTCATCTCTCCAGTTTTTATTTAACTGGTGAATTTTCACAGCTACATATCTTTGTTCTGTTAGGTCAAATGCCTATAAAGAAAAGGAATATATTATGTTCTGGATAAATGCTAACAAGAATTACAGGCAACTGACTTGAAGCTTCTATTTAACAGAACAACACACTCAAAGTCCAAGATGCAATATTAAATGAAAACAGCAGCAGAAGACAATACATCACATATTTGTATCAGAGTAGCAACCATCTTCTTGAAACTTGTGATTAGATAATTTAGAAGTCTCCAGACTGGCACCACGGGGTTGAGAAAATAAAACCAAGCATACACCACAAACAGAAAGACAGCTCATGCCTTAACAGTCACTTCCAAATGATTCTCTTTCTGGACATCATCTATCCTATTTGGGACCTTTCTCCCTTAGGGTGTCTTTTGTCCCTCAGCTGACACTGGGACTTGACATGCTTCAATGGCACAGAATGCCTTCTTGAGAAATAACCACCCAGGATACACTTCTTTGCTATGTTTGTTTAGAAAATAACTTTGTAATTTGCCCTACTGTGTTTATTAAAAGAAAAACAGAAACTAAAACTAAAAAGAGCCCTGCCTTTAGTCCCACTCATATATGCTGAGTTAATAAAAAGAAGTTTTTGATCCCAACAATGTCTGAAGTTAACCTCACCAAGCCACTTCTCCAGCACTTTCCCCAAAGACCATACTGTTGGCAAGTCTCACAACTAGGCAGTGCTCTATCATGGAAGTAACAAACGGGTTTTTGAGGATGTTAAGTATAAATCACAATTTGATAATGTAGCATTTTTAGTTAATCCTCACCTGAGGATATTTTTCCATTGATATCCATAGAGTGGAAGGGAAGGAGAAGGAGGGAAAGAAAGAGAGAGAAACATCAATGTGAGAGAGACACATTAGTTGCCTCCCACATGACCCCCCCACTGGGTCAGGGATCGAACTTGCAACCCAAGTATGTGCCCTTGACCAGAAATCAAACCCAAGACCCCTCTGTCTGAGGACTGACACTCTAACCACTGAGCAAAACTGGCCAGGGCAAAGGAGCATTTTAATACAATAGACAATTTACCCCATACAAAAGAATTTACTGAGAAACTCCTTTAAAATGAATAGTTTTTCTTAGTTTTCAAATTTCAGATTAAAAATTTCGTACTTCAGTTCCAACACTGCTACCACCCATCTGCCAGTTTCCACGAATGTATCAATACATAAAGGCAACAGGGGCAGATACACTGTGCATGAACAATAATCACTATTCTGCAGATCTTTTCAAATGTAAGCTACCTCTAAGGAAAGCATTGCATGCAAGAGATGGCTGCTTACAAAAGAAACTCCTAATTTACACTAGATATAAAATAGTATTTTTTAAAATATAAAAACTATTCCATTCAAACAGATTCTCTTATGTCACACAAACTTCTGAATTCTATTTTTATTACAGAGTTTGAAGTCCACCTGCAAGCATGTGTACCATCATGGCTTTATAGTAGAGAAGCATTTCAAGTCATTAAAAGCCATATTAAGCACCACTTCATTTGTAAGAACACTAATGAGACTACAAGTATCATTTTCTCCAACTATCACACCATATTTCTGAACCCAAGACACTGTGATCCACCTTTGACTTAAGAAGGGCTTTTGGAGCATGAAAAACAGCAAAAGAATAACCACATTAAATGTACACATCATTGTAAGAAGCATCTATATTTCACAAATGTTAAAATGCTTAAAGAAAACACAAGGAAAAAGAAAGATAAAGAAAACACTAACTAGTAACTGGGAAGCACCAATAACCAATTTTGATGATTAAAAAAAAAAGGAAGGGTACCAATTCTGGGTATATTGCCAAAAGAACTGAAAGCAGGGTCTCAGAGATATTTGCATATGCGAATTAAAAGTAGCACTACTGCCCTGGCCGGTTTGGCTCAGCGGTTGGAGCGTTGGCCTGCGGTCCAGAGAGACCCGGGTTCGGTTCCCACTGGGGGCATGTACTTCGGTTGCAGTTTGTCCCTGGCCCTGGTTGGGTCGTGTGGGTGGCAGCCACTCAATGTGTCCCTTTCACATCCATGTTTCTCTCTCTCCCTCCTGCTCTGTCTGAATAAAAAAATGGGAAGATGTCCTCGAGTGAAGATAAAAAAAAAAAAAAAAAAAAGACAAACACTGTGATTCCACTTATATGAGATATCTAAAGTAGCCAATTTTACAGAAACAGAAAGTAAAATTGTAGTTACCAGGGGCTGGGAAGGAAGGAAAAAGAGAACTGTTGATTAATGGACAGAGTTTCAGTTTTGCAAGATGAAAAAGTTCTGGTTATCTGTTTCACAACATGAATATACCTAACGTAAACTCTGTACTTAAAAATGGTTACAATGGAGCATGGCCGGTGTGGCACAGTGAACTGACTGTTGTCCCATGAACTGAGAGGTCCCAGTTCGATTCCCAATCAGGCAGGGCACATGCCCAGGTTGCAGGCTCAATCCCCAGTAGGGGGCGTGCAGGAGGCAGCCAATGGATGTACCTCTCTCACATCGATGTTTCTATCTCTCTCTAGAAAAATCAATAAAAAACATATTTTTAAAAATGGTTACAATGGTAAATTTTGTTTTTTTACCACAATAAAAAAATTACCAAAAATAAACAATAAACTAAGCTTATGATTCAAGAATGAAAACAAATAAAAGCAAAGAAAGCAGAAAGAAGGAGGATTCAAAGCAAAAGTTAGTAAAATAGAAAGCAAATGAAACAGTAGATCTGATCAACAAAACAAAAAGTTGATTCTTGAGAGACAAAAACTGACTAATCTGTGACCTCTCAGTGAAGAAGAAAAGAGAAATAACTAAGGAATGGATGATATTTTTTTAATGAGGATGAAATAAAAAATTTTCCAGAAAAACTTATGACCAAAACTGACTTAAAAAGGAAAAGAAAATCTGAATCGATCCATAGTTGTAGAAGGAATCAAAAAGGTGATCAAATACTTTTCCTCTAAAATGACACCTACGCAGGTTATTATGAGTCAGCTCTAACAAACTTTTAAGGAGCTAACAATTCCCACGTAATACAAATATCCCAAGACATGGGAAAAGAGAAATTTCACAACTCATTCTAGAATAACTATGACATCAAAGCTAGACAATACTGCTTGTACACAAAACATGAGTATGGGCCACTCCCTCTTATGTACACAGATAAAAAACATAAATGAAATACTACAAAATCAAACCTAGGGGTACATTAAAAAAAATATCATTATAGTTCTAGAAATGGATAGCAATGATAGTTGCACAACACTGTGAATGTATTTAACGCCAATGAATTGTACACTTAAAAACAGTTAATTAAAATGATAAATTTTATGCATATGTTACTACAATAAAAAATTAACAGTAAAAAAGAGGGAGCCCTAATCAGTTTGGCTCAGAAGGGTCTTGGGTTCAATTGCCAGTCAGGGGCTCATACCTGGGTTGCAGGTTCGATCCCTAGCCCCGGTTGGGATCGTGCAAAAGACAACCAATTGATGTCTCTCTCTCATATCGATGTCTCTCTCCCCCCACCCCCTACACCCCATCCCTCCCTTCCACTCTATCTAAAAATCAATGGGAAAATATCCTTAGATGAGGATTAGTTCTTACTATTTCTTTCTGAAATGAAAACTAATTATTTTACACAAAACATTTCCCATATATACATTCATATGGGCATAATATAAATCCTAACAGTGAAGGCTATGCCTTAGAAAAGAGGGAATTACCAGGGCCATGAAGTAAAGACTACTTAAAAAACCAATTCTACATTTAAAAGCCAGGTGCCAGAAACATCTAGGAAATTCAAGGAGGTTATGACTGGTGAAAATGTTATGGATCTGCAGCTATATTTTAATATTTAAAACTGGATGAATTCCTCATTTAGTAAAAATCAACCGGAGGCACTGACTTAGAAGATGAGAACATCACAAAGCAGTTTTTCAAATAAGAATTAACTGTGACATATCTATTTTGTTAAAAAATTTTTTATGAGGCCCGGCCAGTGTGGCTCAGTAGTAGAGCGTCGACCCATGTACCAGGAGGTTCCTGGTTTGATTCCCGGTCAGGGCACATGCCCAGGTTGTAGGCCCGATCCCCAGTGGGGGGTATGCAGGAGGCGGCCAGTTGATGTTCTCTCTCATTGATGTTTCTATCTCTCTCCCTCTCCCTTCCTCTCTCTAAGAATCAATAAAGAAAAAAAAAATTATTTTTTAAATTTTTTTATGAGAATAAGAGTGAGGCATACTTATTTCTAGCAAATGTAGATGAGGGAGAATGTACAGAATGAGAATAAAAATCACCATAATTCCACTACCCAAAAATTAGTCTTGTTTTTCCTTCCTATTTTAAAAAATCTAAAATTATTTTTTAAACTTGAAAACAGGGTAAAACATTGTATCCTGCTTAGTCACTGAAGTTTATTAAAAGCAGCTCTCCCAAAAATACAAGGTTCTTAAAGTTTATTATTTCAACCATAGTTATCAACCCACAGTTATCACTATTCTAAATGTTCTCCAAGCTGGTAATAACTAGTAGTTTAACCCTTAGTCTCTGTACTCAGTTCCTCATACTTACCTTGTAAACTTCACTGAAACCTCCTCTACCCAAAAGATGTAACAACAAATATCTGTCATTTAGCGTTGGATGATCTTTAAATCTGTGGAAACAGGGAATATATAACAACATCCTGAGGTCAAGGACTACACAATCTTCCAAATTTGCAAAATTTCCAGAATATTTAACATGTTATACACTTGACTATAGCTGCTGCCAACAGTTTGACAATCAACACCAATATAGCTAACTCTAGGCATTAAAGTAAGTTATATAATTCAGAGATAGATAGAGCATGATTGCAATGAAAAGCTTTAGCTGCAGAGCCACAAGACATAGGCGCCGGTCTCTACATAGCCACAATCAGACCTGTGACTTCTGTTGGCCTCCCTCTTTCTGCCCAGCTATAAAATGAGGGAGGTGGACTCCACTAGATCAGGGATTTTTAAATTGCGTTACTTGGTTCCTCCAAACCTTTCAAGAGTCACATACCCCCACCATTACATAACTATATATAATAAAACTCCAAGATATTTTACATGGCCTTAAAAATGGGTTTGATGCCCTAGCTGGTTTGGCTCAGCGGTTAGAGTGTCAGCCTGCGAACCAAAAAGTCCTGGGTTCGATTCCAGCCAAGGGCACATACCTTGGTTGCAGTTTGTCTCCAGCCTGGCTGAGTTGTGCAGGTGGCAACCAGTCAATGTGTCTCTCTCACACTGATGTTTCTCTCCCCACCCTGCACTCTGTCTGAAGATAAATGTAAAAATATCCTCGGGTGAGGATTAAAAAAAGGGTTTGATTATAAAGTGAGTCACATGTTCAATGTGCATTCATTTTCTTTATAAAATAAAAAGTCTTCATGCTATAACTGTTAGTAACTGTTTCCTTCATATAGGATACCACCTTGTGCTGTTTTCTAAAAAACAAAGAAATAAGAGATTCTGCAAACATAACTTCTATTAATCCTGCAATTATTTTGATTTTGAGATAGCAGCATGATTGTGGAGATGACATTACTGTATGATAATTAAATTTGGAATCAGACAGATCCAAGTTTAACTCTTTTTTTTGGTAGTCCACTAGTTATAGGTCTCTGGTCAAGTTAACTTAATTTTTCTAAGCCTGTTTCCAGATCTCTGTATTTAAGATGACCTACTTCACCCGGTTACTGTGAAGATTAAATGACAAAGCACAAGGGCACTTAGCACTATGCCTGACAGAGAGAGAGTGCTTAGTAACAGTTGTTGCCTGGCACTTTACAGAAAGAGAAGTCCATGGCTCACATTGGCCAAACAAAAATATACAAGTTATAGCTATGTCAAAAAATCATGTTTCAGAGTCCAACAGATTACAGACAGAAGCTATTTCCCACTTGCTGTCTACTTTTTGCAGTTTCAGTCTCTTAAATGACTTATAAACAAAGGTGGGCATTTATCTAAATTAATGTGCTGAGCTTAACAGAGTCTTGCTTAAAATCTCAACAGCTTAAAGTCATTCAGAAACCGGGTGTCAACTCAATAATCTTTCTCCAATACCGCACTGTCACCCATCCTTCCCTTTAGTAAGGCTCTGGAGGTAAATCTGAACACAGCATATCCTAACGATTTACACTACAAATCTGTATTGTTTTAGTGACCTCTACTTGTATAAACATGCTATATGTACAGGTAGATATTTAATACATAAATCTAATATGTTTATATATATTTAAACTAAAGCATATCCTAATTTTGCTCATAAATTGCATTACACCCTACAATAAAACCAAATATACCATGTTATCAATTTAACAAATTTATATTAAACAAAATCATCATTCTAGACTAGCGATTTTCAACCGTTTTCATCTCATGGAACACATAATCTAATTACTAAAATGCTGCAGCACACCAAAAAATAAAAAAAATAGGTATAATTTTGATTCATTCACACCAGACAACTATTGTCTTGTTGTATTGGCTGTTGTCATTTTTTTATTTGACAATCTAAAGGAAAAGAGGTCAGTTCCCCTGACTAAATAGTCAGATATTGCATGTTTTAAAAATCCTTGCAGCACACTGGTTGAAAATTGCTGTTCTAGACCCTTCAATTCATGTCAGAAAGCGCTCAGCAGTCTCCAACCCAACATACCCCCAAATTGCTTACTGTGAATTATCTTCATTATGTATCCTTTTTAGTTCCCTGATATGTAGATTTCTAACCCTTTCTAGCCTTTCCAGCTCTGCCTGGATCTCTGCTTCCTCCTAAAGCAAACAGGAAAGAAACAGCTCAGAAAGCAAGAAATGTTACCCTTCTAGCATCTCATTTAAAAAACAATAGCAGACAACTCTTTCATGAAAAGCTAAAGGAGGATGTCTTGCACTGAAAAAAATATTTTTTTAAAGAACTAGACTTTTCATCATAAAAACCAAGCTTGTAACAAAATAATAAATAAAATTCAAACCATACAAAGGATTATAGTAGAATAAGTGAGAGACCTCTGCCTCCTTGCTCCCACCCCAGATATAACACTGTTAAGTTTCTAAGTATGTTTAGAGTGTGTGTGTATATATGTAATCTCTATTTTTTTAAAACAAAAATCAGGTTCATTATCTGGTTCTATTCTGAAAATATGGATTATATTTGGTGCCTTAAGTTTCACTGATTTAACGAGATCTGAGAATGCACCAAAAGCACTTTTTGTTAAATGCTTGTTGACCATCAGCAACATAAGCAGCACCCAACAAAAATGTATGAGCTGTTGAATTAAAGAGATGAGCATTCTATATCTAAGATGCTTCTGTGAACATTGTCAATAACAAATTCTGTGTAGGTGCCTCTGTGTTACCACATGGTTAATATAAAACCTTTTCTTTTTAGTTTAGGCAAAGAGTAAGAGCTGCTATGTGATTGAAAATATAAGAGATTTCTGCAGGTATGTGAAACCAATACATTTGCCCAAATAATCAACTTGTTTCCATACCAAATGTAAACTAAAAATTGCATTTTTCATTATACTTACCTTTTTCAGATGCCCTAATCTAAGTTTGAAGATTTCTTCTTGTTCATGGTATTCTGCTAATGTTAATCTGGAAAACAATGGTAGACATTTCAATAAATTATCTGAAATTATAGTGCATCTATTGAAAGAGAAATACCAAAGTGTGCTATACAGTATATTCAGTCTCAGTTAAAACAACTAAAAGACGGTTTATCTTGCAGTCCTTTGACACAAGAAGACTTCTGTGATTTATCAGATGTGATGTGCAAGAAGGATTTCAAAGCCAGGATTCTAATTTGTAAAAAATGAAAAAATAAATGTGCTATAATTTTACATTATTTATGATATTAGTTTTGTTCCAAACATTACTCAGATGAAAATACTTTAGGAGAGGTAGCCAAAAATTATGTCTAAATATTTTTAAAGGGCAAAATAATAAGCCAATGGATCTGATTATTTTTGATAACTCTTAGACCTTGATACTATAATAACAAAGAGAAGAACTAGAATAGAAAGAGCCCAGGATTTGGAGTTTGAGGACTAGGGTTCAAAGTGCAACTTGGGCCATGTGACTTTGGGCAAGCAACTTCCACCTTTTAAGTCTCAGTTTCCTTAAAATGCAGCAAGTAATAATACCTATCTAACAAAAGTGTTGTGACTATTAAATGAGAATGTGAAAAGAGTATATAATTTGTAAAATGTTATTTAAACACAATTCTCAACGGGCTGACTTGATGGGTAATCACTTGTTTTATGTTCCACCTACCCCAATCACATGCTCTTATCTCAAGAGTGAGCATGTAAAATACTCCTTCCATCTTCACCTCTTCACATTCTAGAAGCATATACATATATTTCAAAGTTTTATATGTTCCTGTTCAGATATATTCTAAATAGCAGGAGAAAGAAGAAACAGCTATCCTATCAACCAGGAAGGGCTTCAAAACACGGTCTTTGAGGTCTGACTAAAAGAAAAGAGTAACAAGAAAAAGAGATACACTTACTAGGATTGTTATACCTATCTCTTCATAGTTGCAGAAATACTGATATCTATTGCTTTATATCACACTAGAGGGAAAAAAGGAGAGCCCTGGCAGGGTGGATCAGCTGGCTGGAGCACTGTCCCATACACCAAAAGGTTGAAGATTAGATTCCTGACCAGGGCACATACCTAGGTTGCGGGTTTGATCTTCCGAGGCAACTGATTGAGGTTTCTCTCTCTCTCTCTCTCTCTCTCTCTCTCTCTCTCTCTCTCTCAACTAATCGAGGTTTCTCTCTTTGTCTCTCTTTCTCCCTTCCTCTCTCTCTAAAAAAATCAATAAAAAATAAGGATTTAAAGAAAAGGGAGAAATGAAAAATCATAGCTAAGAATTCTTTCTCTGCCTGAAATAAGTTTGATACCAGGAAAGGATAATGTGACTCACCCACTCCAAGACTCTAGAAGACTGTTTTTGGCTTCTGGCCAAAGGAATGAGCCAAGTCTCTGATACTCTAATTAAAAACTGGACCAAATGCTTTCCAGCTTGGATTTTACACAGTACTCCAGATGGCAACTATTTATTGACATACTATTGACCTAGACTAAATTCTAATTATTGTTCTATGGCAAAGAAATAACCTATGCATTCTTTTTTCTTTTTTGCCTATGCCTTCTTTATACTCCTAAGCCAATGCTTTTATACACTAGAGCAGTGGTTCTCAATCTTCCTAATGCTGCGACTCTTTAATACAGTTTCTCATGTTGTGGTGACCCCCAACCAAAAATTATTTTCATTGCTACTTCATAACTGTAATTTTGCTACTGTTATGTCTTAGGCGACCCCTGTGAAAGGGTCGTTCTACCCACAAAGGGGTCGCGACCCACAGGTTGAGAATAGCTACACTAGAGGTAAATTAAAAAAAATTTTTTTTCCTTTATTGATTTGAGAGAGAGAAGGAGGAAGAGGGAGAGAGAGATGGAAACATTGATGAGAGAGAACATCGATGGGCTGCCTCCTGCATGCTCCCCACTGGGGATTTGGCACACAACCTGGGCATGTGCCCTGACCGGGAATCGAAACGGCGACCTCTTGGTGCATGGGTTGATGGTCAACCACTGAGCCACACCAGCTGGGCAAGATAAATATTTTCAAGTAATAGTGGAGGAAGAGTCCCTTCACAAAATACATGAAAAAGGACAATATTCAGGTTAATTTGCCTGGAGAATCTTTCAAATCTGGGCTCCTACTTAGATTTCTTGAAAGGAAATATTTTTTATCTAGAAACTTAAAATATTCAGAGCTATAAGAGTGAAGATGTTTTCCAAGCTTATTCACTATGCACACTTTATAACTATACTTAATGTAATCATTAGCTTATTCATCTGTTCATTTTCTCCAAATAAACTGTGAACTCCTATGGCTGGGGCTGTATCCTTTAGCTCTGTATCCTCAGTGTCCAGAACAGAGCTGATAAGCATTTAACACAGACTTACTACATAAATGTCAAGGAAAAGGCTTCCCCAACACATCAAGTATGTATGGAGTGAAGATTGGTGTTAAGCCATCTTTCTCACTGGAATGAAGACACATTTCTGGAATGTCATGGACTTTTAACAATGGTGTAATAAAAGTAATATTATACTTGAAGGGGACTATGGGTGATTATATTTTTGTGAACTGATATGAAAACATAAAAGGCAAAAGACACACTAGTTAATAAATAATACAATATTACTAACTACTATTTGTGGCTATCTTTAAACCTGAAACTTATTTTCAATTGAAGAATCCCACAATGACAGCTTTACAAAAATTCTTTTCCCCCTGTAAAATCAATGTAGCTGCTATAAATACACTGATTACAGGAGCAATGACTGTTTCTAGAAAAGCATATTTTTTAAAATTTCAAATCTCCAATTCAGAAACCAATTTCATGGCTACCATCAATTCTTTAGATATTGCCTATACTATTATCCGTAGAGCTTTTGCTTCATTTTTAATTGAAAGCCTGCCTCTTAAAGACAGGTGATAACTTAAATGTCTTCAGTGTAAGCATAAGAGATATTTTAAATAGATAAGTAATATATATGTTTTATTTTCCATGCCAATTCTGTTTAGTAGTTCCTGTCTAGTTGGCAAACGACATACAGCCAGTGGGCCATTCAGCTCACAATTTGTTTATTTATTTTTTTTATCCTCATCCGAGGACATTTTTTCGTTTTTTGTTCAGATAGAGTGGAAGGGAGAGAGAGAGAGAAACATCGCCGTGAAAGGGACACATTGAGTGGTTGCTACCCACACAACCCAACCGGGGACAAACTGCAACCAAGATACATGCCTTTTGCGGAAACTGAACCCGGGTCTCTCTTAACTGCTGAGCCAAACCAGCCAGGGCAGCTCACAATTTGTTTTTGTAAATAAAGTTTTATTGGAATGCAGCTACACCCAATCATTTATGTATTATCTAGGGCTGCTTTCAGGCTACTCTGTTGAGTAGTTGCAACAGAGACTCTCTGGCTTGCAAAGCCTAAAGTAGTTACTATCTGGCCCATTACAGAAAAAGTTTGTGAACTCCTGCACCAGAAGACAATTCTGACATGAGATGGGGGTGGAAAAGAAAGGCATCTGTGCTCAGAATATTCTACCCCTCCTATATACTAACTGTTGATAGGCAGTGAAAGAGAAGATTATACTGCAATTTAAGACACTGGTGTTTTCCTTAGGTACCCCAGAACAGGAAAATACTGGTGATGCCAAGATTTGTCTTATTGGAAAAATGTCCTTTTCCTAAAATATACCTGTTTTTTCTTAGCTTATGCCTAAGTTTGTGGCAGTTAACTAAGTTCTCCTTAGTAAAGATCATTTTTTCAGTTGTGAATTCTTCAGTCTGAAATAGGAGCCAGGTAATCCCCATAAGATGATACCAACATACCATAACTGAGAACCAACCATCCAAAAGCAATTATATCATTTGAATACTATAATGACATCACATTTGTTATACTAGTGGCCAAAGATAATGTCAAGTTAAGTGGCATTACTTCTCCCTCTCATTCAAAACTCCCTCTCATTCAAATTATATCAAAACTAAATAAGATCAAGACTAGGGGTGGTGTGGAAATTGTTAATCTTGTATAAAGCAACTTAATAAATTGTTTCAAGGTTTCCAGTAAAAAATAAAAAAGATCAAGACTAAAAATATAAGTAATTTTATATGACTTGAGCAAATCCATTAATGTAGCTAAAAAGAAAGCTTAAGCTCTAAAAAAATCTCCATAATTTATCATATTTTTTCCAGTAGCATTCAACAGAAGATTTGTGTTTTGGGGGTGAGAGTGGTATCTCACAGTTCACACATAAAAAAACATACGTTTCATTTTCAGCTCCGTTGGTCTTGCTTTTCCGCTGTTTCTGCTCATTGGTTGCTGGAGGGGCTTGTCCCATGGCAGGAGGTTTCCGCTTTGCTAACATTTTCCGTTGTCTTTCTATTTCTTCCCTTTGTGAATTTATCCTTTCCTGCTGCCTAGAGATATAAAAGATATGGCACAGAGAAAGAAGGCAAACATTTTTTAGATCAGCTGGTGTGGCTCCCATTGACTGAGAGATCCTGGTTTGATTCCCGGTCAGGGCACATGCCCAGGTTGCAGGCTCCATCCCCAGTAAGGGACGTGCAGGAAGCAGTCAATCAATGTTTCTCTCTCACATCGATGTTTCTATCTCTCCCTTTCTCTCTCTCTAAATGAACAACAAACAATTAATAAAAACATTAAAAAATTTTTTTAACATGGCTATACAATACACACAAATATCTGTCACCTGTATATCTAATAGATTTCAGAAACAATAAGCCCCTTTAAAACAAGTAGAAATATGATTTTAACTTCAGTTTGAAAGAGCAAAATAATTAATGGTAGAAAGATTTTTTTCAGAATAAGTCTGTGCTTTAAGATTCTAGTTATGATTATTTTTAGAGTAGAAAAGGAAAATTATTAAATTTCTACTGTGACCTCAATTTCTGATTAAAATGGAAGAATTTTCTGATTCCTTTTTAACAATTAAGAAAACAACTCTCTGGTATGAAACCATTAAAGATCTATATTTATGTAAGAAAAAAGTACAATAGAATCCAAGTGCCTTTTTACTTTCTTTTTGGATGAAAGTTTCCTCAAATTATATCAAGATACAAATTTAAAGGATGCTAAACAAAGTAAAAAAGATTTCCATTTATTCTAGTCTAGCCCTGGCCAGTTTGGCGCAGCAGTTAGAGTGTTGGCCCACCGCCAGAGAGTCTTGGGTTTGGTTCCTGCTTAAGTGAGCCATTACCACCCCCAAGTCATTCCCATCCGATATGGCGAAACCTTAAACAAATTTTTTAAAAACAAGTACCTTCAGAAGAAGCATAATGAAGCCTCGCAACTAGTAAGAACTCCTTAAGGAATGGTACATTAAATGAATAAAAAACATATATGAAGACTCTTCAGATATTTAACTAACATCACTACCATTAAACTATTTCCTTATGTCTAATTTTTCTATGATAAATAAGTTTACGAAGTAGGAGTCAATAAAAATATCAATATAAAAAAAACACTTTCTCTCATGTATCCCACTACCTAGCAAGATATTAAGGTTTACAGACTTGGTATATAAAACATACCAAGGTTTGGGATTAATCTCCAAATCACCTATCATAGTTGACAGTCAAATATGCTAGCTCCCTTCTTCTGTAACACACGTCCCCTCATCACTCCTTTTCTGTTTCTTTTTTTTTTATCCTCACCTGAGGACATTTTTCCATTTTTTGTTCAGATAGAGTGGAGAGGGAGGGAGAGAGAGAGAGAAACATCGACGTGAAAGGGACACATCGAGTGGCTGCCACCCTCATGACCCAACCAGGGCCAGGGACAAACCGCAACCGAGGTACATGCCCTTAGTGGGAACCAAACCCGGACCTCCCTGGACCGCAGGCCGACGCTCTAACCGCTGAGCCAAACCGGCCAGGGCATCACTCCTTTTCTTGATCCAAACTTCACTTTTGCAGAATAACAAAATCCATTTTTTTAACCTGGTCTCAAATAAAATCTCTTCTACCCTCTTCCCTGAACACTGCAACTGTCAGTTTCTAGACCTTTTCCAGATTCAGTATATCTTTCTTGGAAGAATGGCAAGCAGAAAAACAAGACTATACTCCAGGGAGTGCAATACTTTAAACAAAGGTAACCTAATCTGAGTACTTACTATAAATAACTAACCATTCATCTGATAACACAATTCCCTTGGCTGAGTCGCTAATTAAATGTCAATTTAACAGCAGATGGAAATTTTATTTTATTTATTTTTTTGTTAATCCTCACTCAAAGATATTTTTCCATTGATTTTTAGATAGAGTAGAAGGGAGGGAAGGCGGGAGAGAGAGAAAAAAAGAAAGATCAATGTGAGAAAGACACATAGATTGGTTGCCTCCCACAGGACCTTGACCAGGGCCTGAAATGGAACCTGCAACCCAGGTATGTGCCCTTGACTGGGAATCAAACCCGGGACCCTTCCATCCGAGGGTTGACACTCTAACCACTGAGCAAAACCAGCCAGCGCCAGAATGGAAATTTGAATTCAGGAGTTTTCTGCTTGTCTGAAAAAAAAAAATTTTAACTAACTATCATTAGAGACATGCCTCTCCCTCCAAAATATATGTATAAAATTGTGGCTTGAAAATATTCTGGATTAAGACACAGAATACTTAGGTAAAATCACATTCTTCCTTCTGACTCAACAAATGTCCTTAAGGAAAATAATTTACCTTCTCTGGACATGAGTTTCCCAATAAAAAAAATTGGTAATAAAAATTTCTTTATCCCTGGCCAGTTTGCCTTAGTGCTTAGAGAATCAGCCAGCAAACCAAAAGGTCTTGGGTTTGATTCCTGGTCAAGGGCTGTACCTGGGTTGCATGTTCGAAACCTGACCCTGGTTGGGGTCATACGGGAGGCAACCAATCGATGTGTATTTCTCACACTGAGGTTTCTCTCTCTCCCCACTCCTTCCCTCCCTTCCACTTTCTCTGAAAATCAATGGAAAAATAATCCTTGGGTAAGGATTAACAACAACAACAACCTATATATATAAATATATATATATCTTCAGTTCATTCTACCCTTTCAGGAGCCATGAATGCAAGGTACTCTGAACTCTCTGGAGATAACCAGACGATATATAGTTGAAGCTACCAACTATTATGGGCTAATGGAATGCTATAACATTTTGTCTTTAAAAACTAAATGTTTTGGAAGACTGAGATATTAGCAATTACCTTTATTAAACATAAAATAAAATTGATTTTCCATTGTGTTCAGGGAGAATAATTTAACCCCCACAGATTACCAGCCCCAGAGCCAACATATAATATAAACCATAAACAAAGGGTACACTGATGTCAAAACATCTTTGTGGCATCTGAAACTGTATATTGTAAGAATAAGCGAGCTTGCCTCAACATGAAAAATGATGTACCAGAGATCAATGTTACATATAATAAGGATTCCTGCATTAATTCCTTATGTTCTTGAAACTAATCAACTATTTATAATTACAAATAAAAGTTATCTAAAAATAGTCTATCAGTGATACTTCATTACGTTTTATTTTGGGAGTACAAGGTTTGGATTATGTCACTAAACTATAAATTATCTTAGAACAAAAACTGTCTTTTCAACCCTTCTATCTCCAACACATATGAGAGTGCCTTTATACAGTTGAAGCTTAAATATTCTTTGCATTCCATCAATTTTAGAGTGCTCGCTCTTCATCCCCCATGGAAAGAGTATTTCTACTATCTTTTATAGAAGTATTGATGATCTAATAAATCCATCTCATTCAAGTCTTAATAATCCTGTTAAAAAGCTATTGTCTGTAAAAGAAAACAAGACAATCAGCCTTAGGCAGGCACCCTTATAGGTTGAACTGTGTCACCCAAAAATGCATGTGAAAGTCCTAACCCCCAGGACCTCAGATTGCCAACTTTGTAAATAGGGTCAGTGAAGATATATTTAGTTAAAATGAGGTCATACTGGAGTAGGGTGGGCCCTGACTCCAATATGACTGGTGTTCTTATAAGAAGAGAAGACATAGAGACACATGAGGGAACACAATGTGAAGATAGAGGCAGAGATCAAAGCTATGCTGCTACAAGCCACAGAAATGCCAAAGAAGGACCCTCCCTAGAGGCTTCAGAGGGTAGAAGAGATTTTATTTGAGAATAGGTTAAAAAAAAAAAAAAAAGATTCTGTCATTCTCAAATAAAATTTGTGAGAGAATAAATTTATTGTTTTGAACCATCTATTTTATGGTATTTTGTTACAGTAGCTCCAACCATATTATACATAACTAGCAAGAGGTATTAAAGAACAATGCACAGCCCAGCCGGTGTGGCTCAGTGGTTGAGTGTCGACCCATGCACCAAGAGGTCACCGGTTAGATTCCCAGTCAGGGCACATGCCCAGGTTGTGGGCCCAATCCCCAGTGGGGGGCGTGCAGGAGGCAGCCAATTGATGTTCTCTCTCATCGATGTTTTTTTTTTTCTCTCTCTCCCCCCTTCCTCTCTCTCTTAAATCAATAAAAATTTTTTTAAAAAGCACATATTTTCACCAAAATATTTTTTAGCAGTGATCTATAAGATAGCACCTGAATATACCAGATAAGAATTTTTAAAGACTCCCAGGATTTAATATGTTCTTTATCTACTGGGAACTGTGAAACGCTATGCACTACCCAAGAGAGAAGCTCCAGAACGCCAAAGGATCCTCCCTCAAGACTTCAGAGGGAGCAACACCTTGATTTAGGATTTCTGGCAATTTTGATTCTTTTAAGTTTTAATGTAAAACTCATTTTTTAGTCCTTTGATTACTTGTTTAATTTTCTCAGGATGTCACTTCATTCCCTACATTTCCTTATACATGTGATGACTGAAAAGATGACTACTACTAATTACTAGGATTATTAATGATTGCAGAAAACTTAAAAAATCCAAACCAACGTATCAATTCTCAATTTAATTAGCAAAAATTAACTTACTTGATAAGGTTCTGGAAAGCATAACCATCTGTCCATTGTTCGGTAAAAGAGGCCCCATGCCGGACAGTGGTAAAGTGGCCCAGTCTCAAGCGGTCTTGCATGCTCTTATCTCTACATGCCATCTTCTCTTGTTTTGACTTAGAGGAAAAGAACAAATAGAAAATAATTTTATTTTCCTATGAAAACTTATATATAGCATTATGTTTATTTTTTGTACTATACTGTTCAAAGTTTAGTACAACTGGCTAAATGTACATTCACCTTAGGAAATGCCCTAAAACTTTAAGTAAATTATCTGCATTAATATCCACCTTGTCATAAAAATGGGAAAAAAAGTCGTTTCCTTCTTATAAAATAAACGATGAAGCAAAATTCCCCAGTATCTTTGACATAAACAAAATAACCCACTTTACTTTTATCAGTGTTCCCTGTCATTTTAACAACATTCCAAAGATTTCAGTACATGTAACCACCAGGCTGTCTACCTTGTAATAATTTTACTGGTAAGTACTACCATCTTAAAGCCTTCAATATAAGATAAATAAGTACTAGGAATGTAATTTTTAAAAAAATTTTCAAGAAAGAGTTACTAATAACTATTAAAAGTAAGTTGCAACTAATCAACTATGAAGGAGACAGCCAATTAAAGTAATCACATATAAGTATATAGCAACTTAATTATTTTATAGCACAAAAAACTTGATTATCACATTATTATATACATACAATTACTCAACTACCATCTCTGAAATGGTAACGTAACTATTGTTAAATGTTGGTAATAGTAACAGAATCCACACTTCAACTGATAGATAAACGTACAAGAATCAACCAATAAGTGCATGGATAGGTAGAACAACAAATCGATGTCTCTCTCTCTAATCAATAAATAAAAAGAAAAAAAATTTAGGGGACCAACACTTCAAACAAACTCAACTTGAACAAGCTGTTTCTGTCCAATCAACATCACACTCAAAGCAATGCACAACCAGAAGAATGTCCCAAAAATTATTACTCTGGATGCTTGGTTCAAGTGTCCATGCAAGAAAGAACTCTAATAGTCAAGCAATAAGTCTTTTCCTAAAAAGCCCTAGTTTGAAATATTTTCATCTCAGGTAAGGAGTAAGGAGCCACAACAATGACACACACTGAGCACCCCGGGATACAGAGGGTTCTGGCTACCATTCACCACTCACCTTTTCTATAAGGAGTTTCTTGCTCATTGTCACACATCGATTTAATCGTTCTTTGTACTTCTCTAGCATCTTTTGCTGTTCATCAATCTGCCGTCTCAAATCACAGTTAGCCTTCAATTGAAAACAAAAATTTAATTACCTCTAAGGAAGATAGATTAACACAAAAGCAGTTTCTCAGGATGTCCAAGAATCATTTCTGTTGTTGAATAAAAAGCAAAATTAAAAATCAAAGAAGTAACTATGTCTTAAAAAGAAAAAGAAAAGTAAATACTTTGTTGTTTTCTAATAAACGTATCACCTATTTATTAAAGAGGAATTCTGTTACTAAAAATAAGCTTTTCTACTGATTGCATTTTATACCTCTCTCAAAACCCAGTTTCAGCTAAATCTAGTATGCCTCAACTATCACAAAATGAAAGGAAAAAACCCCTATGATATATGATTAAAATACATAAAAAGTGTGAGTAAGCAAGCACTTACCAAAAATTACAGAATTAATTTAAAAAAAACCACATATAGTTCTTTACGTTCAATTGTTCTTTGTTTTTCAATTCTTGTTTTCAAAGAAAAAGAGACACGAATTTGCCTAGTGTTTCTTACCAGAGAAGCTAGGCACACCCATGCCCACATAAGACAGAACTGACTAGTTGAATACAAGGTCCTCGTTCAAGAATGCCAGAATGTAAATACACAGTTAATTTAGCTGTGGCGAGAAGGATGGGGTAAATACTTTGAAAAATTCAAGCCTCCTACAATAACAGAGAAGGAAAGAACCACTAACCCAAGGTCAATTTTGACTTGAAACTCCTAAATTTATTCTGGTGTTAAATAAAAGATCTCCACTCTTTTGGCAAATAAATGCTACTTTATAATAAATCACTTGAATTATGAAAAAAAAATCTGGTATTTCCTAATCAAATGAAATAAGTGTTTCTGAAACAGTAAAAAACACACATGGAAGATATTAGAGCACACTCAATTTGAGACTTTTCAGGCTTCATTTTAAAGTGAACAGAGTACAACACTTCCATCTCCAAATTTCTGCTCTCCCCAGAAGTATAATTTCTTCCTATTAGTTCTTCTTACAGAGTTCTATGGACCACATTATCAAAGACAAAGTGTAAGGCAGCAGACCCCCTATTCAGCTGTCTAATGGGAGCACTAGTGGTTCTTCTACAGAACCTCCAGGATCCCATGGAGCCAGTTTGAAAACCACTACATTAGTATAAATAAGAACCAAACCCACCCCTTCTAAATCACTGAAGAAAAATGTTACTCAATTTTATTTATAAATCAGCAATATTTATGTGTATATTTATTTATATATGTACTACAAATGGCTCAAAAATCACTAAAGCAAATGCATCAAATGTTTTATCTCAGTTAATGTAATTATGGGTGCAATATTTTTCAGTACTCTTAAAATTTAAAAAAAAAAAAATTTTTTTTCCCTCACCTGAGAACATTTTTTGTTCAGATAGAGTGGGAGGGAGAGAGAGGAAGAGAGAGAGAGAGAGAAACATTGATGTGAAAGGGACACATCAAGTGGCTGCCACCCGCACGACCAACTAGGGCTAGGGTCAAACTGCAACCGAGGTACGTGCCCTTAGCAAGAACCAAACCCGGGTCTCTCTGGACCACATGCTGATGCTCTAACCACTGAGCAAAACTGACCAGGGCTTAAAAATGTTAAATAAAGGGCAGATACTGCTTTTATAACAATAAAAAAAGTTAAAAAAAATTTAAGAATGGGTCTGTCAATATGCCAAATTGCACATTAAAAATATGTATTTAAAATATCATGGTACATTTTCTAGTGGTAATTTTTTAATTCTGGATTAGCTATTTAAAATTTTTTTTCTTCTAAGCACAAAAAAACTTTAGAGATGAATAGGTTATAGAAGATACAAAATACAAAACCCAGGCTGTAAAATAGTTTAAAAAATTTTTTTTCCTTTATTGATTTTTTTTAGAGAGAGAGAGAGGAATGGAGAGGGAGAGAGATAGAAACATTGACAAGAGAGAACATCGACTGGCTGCCTCCTGCATGACCCCCACCAGGAATCAGACCCACAACCTGGGCATGTGTCCTGACCGGGAATCAAAATGGCAACCTGTTAGTGCATGGGTCAAAGCTCAACCACTGAGCAACACTGGCTAGACTATAAAATAGTTTTAAAATTCATGAATACTAAGGCCCTGGCTGGGTGGCTTTGTTGATTATAGCGTTGACCTGATACACCAAAGTTTTGGGTTCAATCCCTGGTCAGGGCACATACAAGAATCAACCAATACCCTGGCCGGTTTGGCTTAGCAGTTAGGGCGTAGGCCTGTGGACCAAAGAGTTTCGGGTTCAATTCCCATCAAGGGCATGTACCTCAGTTGTGGTTTGGTCTCTAGCCCTGGTTGGGGTCATGAGGGAGGCAACCAATCGATGTGTCTCCCTCACATAGGTGTGTGTTTGTTTGTTTGTTTGTTTGTTTGTTTCTTTCTTTCTTCCTTCCTTCCTTTCTTTCTCTCTCTCTCTCCTCCCCCTCCTACTCTATCTGAAAATAAATGGAAAAATATCTTCAGGTAAGGATTAAGAAAAAAACAAGAATCAACCAATGAATACATAAATAAGTGGGACAACAAATCAATCAATCTCTCTCTCTCCCCCCCCCTTCTTCTTTCTCTTTAAAATTAAATATATATACGTGTGTGTGTGTGTGTGTATTCTACAATATAAGATTTCCAATTTAAAGACAATGCTTAGAATGCAGGTTTGATCCTGGTTGCTACTCAGAGTAAAGGAAAATATCCATATGTTTATTACTTAATTTTTTTCTTTGGCTACAGTAATTGTCTCTATGATATGCACATGTTCCAAATACACATCCATCAATCAGTGCTTGTATAAAATCTCTAACCACATTTTAATACTTACTCTTAACAAATCATCTATTCTTCCCTCCTTCTTCTCTAAGTCAGAATTCTTACTGTTTTCTAGTGCAGATATTTTTTCTATTGTGAGGTCAGACTACAGAAACAAAACAAAATTTAGAATTAGTCTCAAAATACTACATGCTGTCACATTTTTCTCATTGCTTTTCTGGAAAAGAAAAAAAAAGCCCTGGAATCACATGGTTCAAGAAATTAAATCTCCTTTCCTCATCCCATTCTTGAAGCTTTATATTCTGCTACACCTGATCTTCAAAAACATGTTAACACTGGAATCAAATATATGAATACTCAAAATCTCTGTGCATTGAACAACACAGAAACACTACTTTAGAAATGAAATTAACTTTGAGAGGAGACAGGACCCAAATCTCTAAAGAACAAGTGCGCCACCTAGTGGAGATAAAGAACAATTAGAAGGGGAGAGATGGAAGTTATGCGAATACCCAATTATTTTTCAACTGCCCAAAGGCTGGTAATTCAAATAAAATTAAAATCTGCTCCTGAGGGTTGTATAGCTCTTGAGACCTAGGATATACTCCTAGATTGTCAAGCGTCCTGACTTGAAGGCAGCACAGTGCCAAGAAAACCTGGTATACTATTTGGCTAGCTCAATGTTACAAAATAGAGCATATATCCACTATCATTTTCAGATATCTTTGAATATTCAGAGCATTCCTTAAATTAAAAAAAATTTCTGAAGGTTGTTTAAGGAGAAAATTATGTTGGTGTGCCACATGTTAAAGAAGTTTAGCTAGATCTTGCCAAATAAACAGGTACAAGGAACTAACTCCTTTCATAAAGTAGTGAATTAACATTCATTGATGCCTAGTGCGAGCACTGTCCTACTAAGCATTTCATATACACTGTTTGAGATCATTAGCACCACATTTTACAGATAGTTTGTACTCGAGAAAACCGAGGCCCAAAAAGATAAAGTGTAAGGTACAAAGACAGAATTTGAACTCAGGCCTAGGTCTCCAACGAGTGCTCTTTCCTCAACAGCTTGCTTTAGTATAAACACTTCCACTGCAATGTACCAGAGAGGAGGAAAAGAAACACCTCAAAAACTTAAATCACCTTCCAAAAGATTTTAAGTACTCACAACACAAGTTCTGAATATAATAATACACATAATGAGGTAAAGTCAGAGAATTAAAAAGAGAAGACAGAGAGAAGACTCATGGGTTTTATATGTGGGTAGCATTTATTCATAAGCAGATCTTTTTCTTCTCCGTTTACTGATCACCAACCTACCTGGGTCTGTCTGTGCTGGATGGAGATCTGTTTCTGGGAGCTGCAGGAATGCTCTGTGTTACCAGATCCTGTAGAAGAGGGACTGTTTTGCTGAGCCTGTAATAAAGGTATATCACCAATCACAAGAAGTTTGCATTTTTCTCCAAAAACATTTGTAAGAATGCAAACAATTAACTCTATATAAAATAAATGAAAGTCAGAAAGTCAGAAGTCAGGGCCATGCAGCCAAGAAGAAAGTAAACCAATTCAAATGAGAATCAAAGGCTGGACATGGTGGCTTGGACCATGTTCCTGTAAATAGTTTAAAGTATCAAATGCTTATAAAATAATTTTTTAAAATATGTAAATCAGAGAAAATTAAGTTATTCCTGTTATAACAGGCCCTTTTCACTTGTATTTCAATATGCTTTTGTCACAAAAGGCTGGTGAAACAAGGGGATGTTAGTGACTCTAGGCAGAAAGGACTGTGAACTATTCAGAATACAGCAGTCCCTCATTATCCACAGTTTCAGTTACCTGTGGTCGACCATGGCCTGAAAATATTAAATGGAAAATTTCAGAAATAAACTATTTGTTAAGTATAAAGTTGCATACTGTTCTGAGCGATGTGGTGAAATCTTGTACTGTCCCACTCAGGATGTGAAATCATCCCTTTGTCCAGAGTATCCATACTGTATGTGCTACACACCGTTAGTAACTTAGTAGCCATTTTGAGTGTCGCAGTATTACAGTACTTATCTTTTTTTTTTAATTTTTAAAAATCTTTATTGTTGAATGTATTACAGAAGTTCCTCATTTTTCCCCCATTGACCCCCTCCTCCCCACTCCCACCCCCCTCCAGCCTTTTCCCACACTATTGTCTGTGTTCACTGGTTATGCATTTAAGTTCTGTGGTTTATTTCTCTCCCCGCCAAACCCCTTTTCCTTTGAGGTTTGTCAGTCTAGCAATGAATTTGTACTTCTTAATCCCTTTACCTTTTTCACCCATTCCCCCAACCCCCCTCCCATCTGGCAACCAACAAAATGTTCTCTGTATCTATGAGAATGTTTCTGTTCTGTTTATTCATTTTGTTTGTAGATTCAATTGTCGATAGATATGTATTCGTTGCCATTTTGTTTGTTCATATATTTTATCTTTTTCTTCAAAAAGACCCTTCATCATTTCATATAATAACGGTTTGGTGGTGATGAACTCCTTTAACTTGTTCTTGTCTGGGAAACTCTATATGGCCATCAATTCTAAATGACAGCTTTGCAGGATAGAGTAATCTTGGTTGTAGGTTCTTGCTTTTCATCATTCTGAATATTTCTGGCCACTCCCTTCTGGCTTGCAAAGTTTCTTTTGAGAAATCAGCTGACAGCCTTACGGGACTCCCTTGTAGGTAACGAACTGCTTTTCTCTTGCTGCTTGTAAGATTCTCTCTTTGTCTTGAACCTTTTGCATTTTGATGATGATGTGTCTTGGTGTGGGCCTCTTGGGGTTCATCTTGTTTGGGACTCTCTGTGCTTCCTGGACTTGTATGTCTGTTTCCTTTACCAAGTTAGAAAAGTTTTCTGCCATTATTGTTTCAAACAGGTTTTCAATTTCTTGTTTTCGCTCTTCTCCTTCTGGCACCCCCAAGACGCGAATGTTGGTATGCTTGAAGTTGTCCCAGAGGCTCCTTACACTATCCCCATTTTTTTGGATTCTTTTTTCTTTTTGCTGTTCTGATTGGGCGATTTTTGCTTCCTTATATTCCAAATCGATGGTTTGCTTCTTGGATTTACGTACTGTACTATTGAATCTGTGTAAATTATTCTTTATTTCAGTTAATGCCTTCTTCATTTCTGACTGTGCATCCATCATTTCTGACTGGTCCTTTTTTATGCTCTTGAGGTCCTCACTAAGTTCGCTGAGGTTCTCACTAAGTTCATTGAGCATCTTTATAAGCAGTATTTTGAACTCAGCATCTGTTAGGTTGCTTATCTCCATTTTGCTTAGTTCTTTTCTTGGGGTTTTGTTCTGTTCGTTCATTTGGGACCTGTTTCTTTGTCTCCTTATTTTGGCTGCCTCCCTGTGTTTGTTTCTGTGTATTACTTAACGAGAGGTAAGGGGCTATCTGAGACCAGATGCTGTTCCTTTGAAAGAATTTAGGAAAACCTGAAGCAGGATCCAAGAAAGGCCGATCCTGTGGTTAAGCAAGTGGTAGCAGCTTGGGTGGGCCTGAAAGTTGGGTGGGGCGGGGCCTCAGGGAATCACCAGGGCGGGGCAACCAGTGTGAGCCAGGTTGCTGGAGTCCCAGATATGGCGGCTGTCTGCCGCCCCAGGGAAGGCTCACCAAAGGAACAAAGGCCTTTGACAGCATGTTTGTCCCAGAGAAAGCCCCTTCTCCAGCCCTCCCTCCAACGCCAAACAGCTCAGTTCTTCCCTGTATGTCTCTGGAACCCCTCCAGCTGCCTCCCCTCCAAGCTTAGAGGGAGAGAGTCCAATAAGTCCGTGCGCGGGCCCTTTAAGGAGCTGCCTGGGGCTCCAGCTGCATCAGCTTCCCTGAGCCTCAGTTCCCCCTGGTTTTTCCAGCCAGAAGTTATGGGGACTTCTCTTCCTGGCACTGGAACCCTGAGCAGGGCGTCTGGTGTGGGACGGGGATCCCTCAGTCCTTAGGGAGGAACTTCCCAGACGAGGTATCCTCAGATTTTTATCCGCCACACGTGGGTGTGGGACCAGCCCGTCTGCCTCCGCCCCTCCTACCAGTCTCCAAGTGGCTGCTGCTTTAATTCCGTAGTTGTAGGACTTCTATTCAGCTTGATTTCAGGCGGTTTTGAATGACAGTTGTTCTGTAGTTTAGTTGTAACTTTGATGTGGTTATGGGAGGACGCGATACCTCGTTTACCTACGCTGCCATCTTGACCGGAAGTCTGCTCGTCTAGTACTTATCTTATTTAATAATGTCCTCAAAGGGCACAAATAGTGATGCTTGCAATTCAGATATGCCGAAGAGAAACCAAAAAGTGTCTCCTTTATGTGAAAAAGTATGTATGTATAGGAAAAAACATAGTATCAATATTATCTATAGTTTCAGATATCTACTAGGGGACCTGGAACAGATAAGGGGGGACTACTGTAGTCTCCTACATCCACAAACACACAATGGTCCAAAAATTCAGGTTAATTTCTAACATCACTTATTGATTGTGACTTTTCCATACAATTTATAGGGCATTCTAAGGCGTTTTTAAACCTGCAACTTAGATATGTACCCTGACCAGGAATTGAACCTGCAACCTTTTGGTGTAAGCGACAGTGCTCCAACCAACTGAGCCACCTGATAAGGGCTATATATTTCTTTTTCTTATTTATTAATATGGTAACAATGCTATAAACACCATCTATTGAGCAATTATTACCAACTAAATGCTTCACTGTCATGACTAATCCTTACAAAAACCTATAGGGTGGTTATTATTATTATTATTATTATTTCCATTTATAGATAAAGAAAATGCAAATCAGAGATATTAAGCACCTATGCGGAATCACAGAGCTAGTGAGTGGGAGATCAACTGAGAGCTATATGCATCATAATAACCACTCTAACTGTCCACAGTAGATCCAAAGCCTCTCCTTACGTTACAGGTACTATTATAACTAGGCCACAACCAAGCTAAGTACTTCATACACATAATTAAAGTGAAGGCTCTCAATGGCCTTGTAAAATAGGCAACATTATCTCCATTTTTATTTATTCATTAAACACTACTCATATCTCCCTATGTCTCCACCGACTGCTCCCACAGAGTACTCCCCGTGTCTAAGCACTGCTAGTTGCTAGGGACACAATGATCAAGAAAAACAGAAACAAAACCCACATACCCAGTCATTACTCTCCCTCAATAAAGCTTACAATTCAAGAGATTTATTCAACACTCAATAAATATTTGTTGAAAGAAATTGTTAAATACATAATCACATAATAAATGCAAAATTATAATTAGGATAAATGCTCTAAGAGTATGTAACAGGATACATAACCTAATGAATTCTTTGAGAAAGTGATATCAGAGTTAAGATTTGAAGAAAATAAGGAGTTAAAAATAGGAAATCATAGCATCAGTACAGGTAGAGAATGTGTGCAAGAACCCTACAGGAAGAGAGAAGACTGATGTGGGGATCAAAGAAGTCAAGAACAAGTAAGGTTAAGTTTCAGAGGTTAAACAACGTGCATACCCTGTAAGTAGCAGAGCTGAGATTAGAGTCAGGTCTAGGAGAGTCCAAATAACTGAAAATGTTCTCTACACTTTCTGCAATGTGGCAAATGTAACCTTTTCTTACTGATTAAGGTCCATCATTATGAATTTCAAGTGTTATATGCACAATGCTAAGAGCTTTATCTCCTTCAGTTATCATTAGATTGCTCTTACAATCTTCTTTGAAAATCTGTTTCCTTATAAATATGGCTGTTTGAACTGTATTTATAGTAAGAACCAAATAAGAATCACATAATTGACTAAAAGGTTCTTCTTCTACAAATTTTAGATTTTGGTATATGGGCTTTGCTAAAATGCTTTCTTTAAAAAATATATATATATATGTGTTTACTAATTTTTTTAAGAGAAACATCAATGTGAGAAACTTTTATCAGCTGCCTCCTGCACACCCCCTACTGGGGATCGAACCTGCAACCTGGGCCTGTGCCCTGACCAAGAATCAAACTGGGACCTCTCAGTCCATAGGACAATGAATGCTCAATCCACTGAGACACACTGGCCAGGCTAAAATGCTTTTTACATGTGCTCATTTCTGATTCTAAGTTTTCTTCCAGCAAACGAAGGGTGCTAGAATGTGATTCAGTGGGATATTTCCAAATCAAAGGTTTCTGTAAAAATATATGTATAAATAAATAGCCTAATGATAGAAAAAGCCCTCTCTTCCTGGTTCTGTGGTAAACATTAGAAATGCAAAACTAGAAAACAAAGAGAACTCAGTCTCCCAACATGTCCATAATTACCACATCATGTTCTAGGGAAACGAGAACAGAAGTTGCTGGCATTGCTTAGTGGGCCACTGCACTTATAACTTTAGTCCAACCCCTACCTCATAAAACATTCTCCCTAGACTT